AGTATTCTTCAGGTATATTCAAGCCAAATACAAGTCATCCTTGAGTTACGACCAGGGTGGATTTGATTTAAATCGAGTTGATTTAAATCACAATTTAAATCATGATTTAAATCACTAGTAAAAAGGCTTGATTTAAATCAACTCGATTTAAATCATCATTTTTAAAGAGCAACTGTCATCTCTGCTACTCCTTTGACCCACTGTTGACTCACCGATAGTCCCAGTGTTGCAGAATATACAGCCTTGTGCTACATAACTAAGCTCCATTTCATGCTGAATAAACTAAATTGTTTATGTATCTTAAATAGAAAATTATCTTACGATAGATTTTTACCCCAAAAGTTTTTTATTAAAATAAATTCGATAAAAATCAAAAAAATCTGATTTAAATAAAAAAATCTGATTTTTTTAAAAAAAATCATTGATTTTTATCCACCCTGGTTACGACTACAATTGAGCCCAACATTTATGTTGTGAAGTGAGACCATTGTTAAGTGTGTTTTGCCCTATTGTACAACTTTTCTCACCACCGTTGTTAAGGGAACCAGTGCAGTTGTTAAGCGAGTGGCCCACTTGTTAAGTGAATCTGGCTTCTCTGTTTTAGACTTTGCTTGTCAGAAAATTGCAAAAGGGGATTGTGTGACTCCGGGACACGGCAACCATCATAAATATGAGTCGGTTACCGAGTGTCTGAATTTTGATCATGGGATCTTGGGATTGCTACAATGGTCCTAAGTGTGAAAAAAAACGGTCATAAGCCACTTTTTCCTCGTGCCATTGTAACAGTTACTACCGTAGTTTTTGGGGTATAAGAGGCACCTTTTTTCCCTCTAAAAGGGAGTGAAAATTTAGGTACGTCTTATACACCAAATGTAGCCCAGCCCACCCACTGGCCCCCACCCTTTGGCCTCTGCCTCGCAGCAATTTACCTCCTTGCAAGCAAACAGCAAGAAAAAAACAGCTCCTTTCAGCTTCAGCACAGGCTAATTAGCACAAGTTGTTTGGATCGGCCTCCCGACTCTCAGCTGATTTGCTCTCAACTGTTTTGTGCAGGCTCTGCTGCTTGCTGCAATGAGGTAAATTGCTGGAGCAGATTTTTTTTCCTTGTGCTAATCAAGCTATGCTGAAAACGAAACTGAAAGTAAAGCAGGCTGTTTGCTGCAAGGAAAAATTAGGCAGAGGCAGAGGGAGATTTCTTTTTTTTTTCTTTTTCCTCACCAAAAAAGGTAGGTGCAAACAATGGGAAATTTAGGGCAAAAGAGGAGAGTTCAAGATTTTAAAACACAAAAGAAAAAAATGAGAAAGAAAAAGGCAAAAATAAAAATGGGAAGGGAGAAAAAGAAATGAAAGAGAAAGATGTTATACATATTTAGAATTGAAATATGAATAGTAGTAAGAAATAAATGGGAAATCATGATTGTAAAAATGAAATGAATAATAATTGGAATATTTGTCTTTGTATTTTTGAAATCTAGACAATGATAAGTTTTTATTTTTTATTTTTTTTAGAAATATGAATAAGTATAAACTGTAACAACTGAAATACCTTTAATGGTATAGGGTGGTGAAAGTAAAAAGGATTAAGTTGTAGCTTGGATAACAGCTAGAACATTTTTAAATTTAATTAGGGAAATTGTAACGACTGAAATATTTTTAATTACATATTGTGATGAAAGTAGAAATGATTAAGTTGTGATTTGGAGGATTATATGGGCAAAACTATTTGGGTTATTGAGAGAATTTAAGATGTGAAAATGAGTAACATAAGGGGAAAGCTCTATTTAACTAGGGAATTGTAATAATTGAGATCCTATTAATTGTATATTGTGTTGAAAGCAGAAAGGGTTAAGTTGTGGTTTGGAGGAATATATGGGGAAAATTATTTGGTTTATTATTATTGGTAAATATAATTAATTGATTTGTAAGAAATTGGATTGCATGGAAATAATTGAAATATTCATGTTCATATTGATTAATATACAAAAAAGATAGTTATATAACTAATTGATTTATATGTCGGAGCCAAAATTATTTAATTTGATTTTATTCTACTTTTAAATTTTGTATGGATGTGTTTTATTGTTTGGCTGTGCACTGCCCTGAGTTCTTCGGGAGTAGGGCGGTATAGAAATCGAATAAAATAAAATAAATAAATAAATAAATAATATTAAAATGTTGAATTTGTATTAAATTAAAAGAGCCTTGGTAGTACAGTGGACTAAAGCACCCTGTTATTAAGACCAGCTGCCTGCAATTACTGCAGGTTCGAATCTCCCCAGGCTCAAGGTTGACTCAGCCTTCCATCCTTTCTAAGGTAGGTAAAATGAGGACCCAGTTTGTGGGGGCAATAAGCTGATTATTTTTTAAAGTTTAACAATTCATTCTTTATCTTAATATCTTTATATTTGTTTGGGGTTGGCTTTCTTCCCTTTCATCTTTTTTATTGTACAGCAATCTTTCTCCTCAAACCTACCACCTCTCTCTTTTCTTTCCTTCTTACTTTCTCTCCCCCCCTTCTTCTCCTCCCTACTTCCTCTTCCTTTCTCCTTCTCCTCCTCTCTTCCTCCCTCTCTTACCCTCACTTCTACTCTAATTTCCCTTCCCTTCCTTCATCCCTCTCTATTGCTGTATCCTTTTATGCATATGGACTACTCAGAGGGCTGAAAAAGTTATTTTTGACTGGTCCTTGCACTTTTGACCAGCCCTCAAATTTATGACTGTCCTCACATTTTATTTTTTTGCCCTATCTTATCACCATGGTGAAGAGAAGCAGTTGTGAAATGAGTGACATGGCTGTTAAGAATGCTGCACGGGCATAAATGTGAGGATGGTCATAAATGTGAGGTCCAGTTAAAAGTGCGAGGACCTGTCAGAAATGACTTTTTCAGCCCTCTGAGTAGTCCCTATAGTATACACATAGCCATGGCCATCCGGTCACATGACCAGCTAGCTACGCCCACCCAGTCACATGACCTCCAAGCCACGCCTACAAAATAAGCCACGCCCACAGAACCGGTAGTAAAAAAATTAGAACCCACCCCTGGTTGGGGGTCACCACAACATGAGGAACTGTATTAAAGGGTGGCGGCATTAGGAAGGTTGAGAACCATTGCTTTAAAGGATAATGGAGGATAACAATGTGAATCATGTTTATCCAGTTTTCAGGGCAGCTGGTAAAGAAAACATCTTCACACTTGTGTATTGGCTAAAATCTGCATTCTGGCTTCAGGGGGGGGTCTCTACTGCTTTAATACTACTTGTCTTGCCTAAGGGTATTCAGACGTTGCTTTGAATCCACTGCTGTCACTTCTGCTTAATAAAAGGATCCTTTTGAAATATCACATTTCAAGAGTTTTTATTTTCTTAAATTGAAAGGTGAGGCAATCCTTACACCAATAAAAGTGTGCCACAGTCTTTTGGGATAGGGCTTTATCTCCCTTGACACACTGCCAAAGACCTAATTGGCAATTAGCTTTGCAAGGCCACACGGAGCACACAGAGCTTCAGAATTTAAACTGACCAGAACGAACAAAGTTGCTTCCTGCAAAGGCTCACGTGCCTTTGCTCCTCCTTTATGTCTTTATATCATCTCCAAGCCCTACTCCTGAGTTGTCCCTTTTGTCTTAACTGTTCTTACCTTCTCGTAGCTCTGCGCATGCACACACTGGGAACAGGTTCCCCCGTTCCTCTGCCTCGCTGATGTCCAACTCTGGAGGCTCTGGAGTCGGCACATAATTCCCAGATGGCCCTGGCCCCATCTATGCCTCTGATGCAGAGCCCTCATCCGAGCCTTCCCCAGACTCCAGGACTGGCACATGTTCCTCCCCAACCTCCTCACTGTCCGACTCTGCTGCCAGCTCCGCAGGCCACCAGTGGACCACAACAACAAATTCATTATTATTGCTATTACTCCTTGGTCATATTCAGTACCCAGTAATTGATAAATGACAGAATTAGATAAATTTATAAATGATCTATCAATTCTTGACATTTTGTGAGACCATGCACTGAAGCAGTTTATCACCATCTATCACTTTAAGGAAAGACGGGGCAGCGCGGAAAAACTGAAGCGGCTTGTGATGGATTGGGGAGAGGAAGGATAATTGGGTGATTGCACTGGGGTGGAGCTGTATGCTGTTTCAAGGATGATGGGGAGCATGGGGAGCATACAAAAATTCCTTTCTATAAACACTTTAAGGTGGTCAGTTAGTACCGATATCAGGGTAAACAAACTTGGTTATTGCTTTTGCGCGCTGAGGTTTATTTTTCCAGTCTTTACGGAACCTGACAGAACCTATGTCACGCGTGCCGGAAGTGGTACACAGAGTCATCTCTCCGGGCATGCCAGCCGTTGCCTGTTGCTCTTCCGGGTTCCAGCTGGTCTTCGCACAAGCTGGAGCACCGGAAACTAGAAGGGCAACTCGCCAGCGCGCATGTGCGCACTGGCCAGCTGGTATTCATCCGGGCATGTACATTAGAATGGTACATTCAGATGGCCAGCACACATGAGTGCGTCAGGGAGCTGCTCTTCCTGTTTCTGGTGTGTGCACGCACGCTCCCATTTTGGTACTCGGTGCCGAAAAGATTCTCCACCACTACCCTAGACCTTTCCTTACCCTAGACAAATGGCTGTCTAGTCTTTTCTTAAAAACCTCCAGGGTTGGAGCATTCTGGACAAATGAGCCGAGGTGGCGCAGTGGTTAGAGTGCAGTACTGCCGCTACTTCAGCTTGAATGAATGAATGCCGTGCTTAATAAATAGGAGTTTTCCTTCAAAGACTTTGTTTGAAATGCAATTTATTTGAGACGACCTCGAAACCTGACAGAAAGATCCTGTTCTTCATGATTTTTGCTGAGCTAGACTGGCGTCCTGACTAGGAGCTAAAGTCTGGCCCTCTCTGCACATCTGTTGGGTCTTCAAGTGTTGGCTGGAAATTTGGGGGTTCGCACCCCAAGATCGGTCGAAGCCTGGTGGGGTCAAAAGCCAGACTCCTCCTTGGCTACCCCAGAGGACAGAAATCAACTCACCCTTTGATGCCTTTGATCATCTTGCTATTGTCCCCGTTTTTCATGGCTTTCTCGACCATTTCCTGCAAAATGTTCCCTTTGATCAAGGTGACCTGGACCACTAGAAGCAGAGACAGAGGAATGGATGCTTAACCCGAGTCACGCATTCTCACAGCACAATAGGGCATGGCACAGCAGTTGTGGGCAGTTCCTTTTACCCCAGTGGCCATGCCATCCAAAGTGCTCCTGTCTGTCACAGACATCTGGGTCAGTAAAACAGAAAGAACCAATGCCCAACCTAAGCCACCAGGAGGCTCAGCCCAGCACGAGAGGGAGGGCAGCCCATCTCCCCATGGTGGAAAAAAGGGAGGGAGGAAGGGAGGGAGGGAGGGAGAGAGAGAGAAAGAAAGAAAGAAAGAAAGAAAGAAAGAAAGAAAGAAAGAAAGAAAGAAAGAAAGAAAGAAAGAAAGAAAGAAAGAAAATGAGGGAGGGAGGATGGGAGGGAGGGAGGGAGGCGAAATACAGAAAAAAAAGAAAGAAAGAGGGAGGGAGGGAGGAAGAAGGAAAGAGAAACTCAGAGAAAAAAGAAAAAAGAAAGAAAGAAAGAAAGAAAGAAAGAAAGAAAGAAAGAAAGAAAGAAAGAAAGAAAATGAGGGAGGGAGGATGGGAGGAAGGGAGGGAGGCGAAATACAGAAAAAAAAGAAAGAAAGAGGGAGGAGGGAGAAGGAAGAGGAAAGAGAACTCAGAAAAAAAGAAAAGAAAGAAAGAAAGAAAGAAAGAAAGAAAGAAAGAAAGAAAAGGAGGGAGGAGGGAGGGAGGGAGGGAGGGAGGGAGGGAGGGAGGGAAGGAAGGAAGGAGGGAAGGAAGGAAGGAAGGAAGGAAGGAAGGAAGGAAGGAAGGAAGGAAGGAAGGAAGGAAGGAAGGAAGATCTCTGCAGAAAATGACAACATGGGACACTTTGTATTTGTGCTGCAACCCAACTGGAATTGATGCCTAGAAGGTTTTGGAGAGAATATTTTCAACGTTGTGAGACAACTATTAGGAGAAAATCTGGTGATAGATAGAAAGTTCTCCACATTTCTAGGCTTCAGGGTCTTTCTCTGTTCTGTGAAAGAAGGGACTGAAAACCCATTTATCACATTCCAAAATCAATACTTACTTTCTTTCTTTCTTTCTTTCTTTATTCCTTCCTTCCTTCCTTCCTTTCTTCCGTCTTTCCTTCCCTCCTCCTCCCCCCTTCCTCCCTCCCTCCCTCATTTTTTGCTTTCTTTCTTTTTTCTTTCTTTCTTTTCTTTCACTCTTTCTCTCTCCCTTCCTTCCTTCATCCCTTCTATTCATCCATCCCCTTCCTTCATCTGTCCCTCCCTTTCTTTCTCTTTTCTTTCTTCTTTCTTTCTTTCCTACCCACCCTTCCTTCCGTCCTCCCTCCCTCCCTCCCTCCCATCTCTTTCTTTTTTCTTTTTTCTTTCTTTGGTCTCACCCTTTCTCTCTCTCCCTTCCTTCTTCCTTTCTATTCATCCATCTCCTCCCTCCATTCATCTCCCTTCCTTCCTTCCTCCCTCTCTCTCTCATTTTCTTTCTTTCTTTTTCTTTCTTTCATTCTTTTTCTTTCTTTCTTTTCTTGCACTCTTTCACTCTCCATCCCTTCTATTCATCCATCTCTTTCCTTCCTCCCTCCCTCCCTTCCTCCCTTCTTTTCTTTTTTCTTTTTCTTTCTTTTTTTTTTTCCTTTCCTTTCCTATCCTTCCTTCCTTCCCTCCTCCCTTCCCAACTCCACACAAGCATCTTCGAAAGTTTCCCCGGTGTTCTTAGAACAATCTCAGCTAGCAGGAAATATGCCATTTTACTTACTACGCATTATTGCATCCGGCTGGAATTTCACGTTGGCTATGCAGGAGCCCTCCGATACCGAAGGGACCATCGCAATACAGAAGAAGACCAGCACCCCAACCCAAGGCCTCTTGAGGGCTAGATCCATGGTGACTGACAGAAAGTCAGAAACGATTCCTTGGCTGTAAAAATGTGGAATGAGAACCTCAATCTTTAGATTCAGGAAATAAAGGAGAGGCCTGATTTTGCTCTATTCTGATCATTTCCCCTCATGGCAAATCCTCAGGAAAGGCTGAAAATGGCGGACACTGGGCTGCGGTTAAATCACAGAAACAGTAGCCAGGGAGGACATGGATTTCCCTTATGGCCCATGATTCAGAATCACAATGTTGGAAGGGACCTTGGAGGTCTTCTAGTCCAGCCCCCTGCTCAGGCAGGAAACCCTGGTATTGTTTCAGACAAGTGGCTGCCCAGTCTCTTCTTAAAAACCTGGAGCACCCACAGCTTCTGGTGGCAAGTCCTTCCACTAATTCATTGTCCCCGATGTCAGAAAATTCCTCCTTAGTTCTAAGTTGGTTCTCTTGGTTAACAGAATAACAGAGTTGGAAGGGACCTTGGAGGTCTTCTAGTCCAACTCCCTTCTCAGGCAGGAGACCCTATACCAGGTTGGGATTCTACCAGTTCAGACCGGTAATCTCCTGGATGAGTTTCCACCCGTTGCTTCTTGTCCTACCCTCAGGTGCTTTGGGAGAATAGCTTGACTCCCTCTTCTTTGGGGTAGCCCCTCAAATATTGGAAGACTGCTATCATGTCATCCCTAGTCCTTCTCTAAAAGGCGGACAGAGTCAAAGATTTGGTGGGCACCTCAACTCAAGGGACAGAGCCCAGAAGAATCTGATGGCCGACCAGTCTCTGTAGGAAAGGCTACTGAAGGTCTCCAGACATTCCAAAGGAGTAAAAGAGGTTTTGATATGACAACCAAGTGCACCTCACACCCCTTCTCTCTAGATGCAAACATCTGGAGGAAACCAAGGGAAGGGGAGACATTTAGCCTCAAACTAAAGCTGTCCTCAAATAAATAATCAACTTACTTCCTGCTTTTTTGGGGAGCGAGAAGGAAGAGCCCTGATTTCATTCTATTCTAATCATTTCCCGTTATGGCAGAGTCTCAAAAGCTCAAAATGGCTGACACTGAGTTGTTGTAGCTCTGGAGTACATGATTTCCCCTTGTACCACCCAGTCTCTGACCTTCTGATCCTCTGCCGATATTGACCATCTCACTCTTCTAGAACAGTGTTTCTCAACCTTGGTAGCTTGAAGCTGGGGGATTCTGGGAGTTGAAGTCCACCCATCTTCAAGCTTCCAAGGTTGAGAAACACTGTTCTAGAAGAAGGACAAAGACCTTTTCTCAATGTAGAGAAGAGTAAAGGCTTACACTTAGGCAAGAAAAACCAAAAATACACATATAAACTGGGTGAAACCAGGCTTAATAGCAGTGACTGTGAGGGGGACCATGGAGTCTTAGTGGACAACCAGCTAAATAGGAGCCAGCTGTGTGTGGCGGCAGCCAAAAAAGCCAATGCAATCCTAAACTGCATTAACAGAGGGATTCAATCAAGATCAAGAGAGGTACTAATACCACTTTATAAGGCCTTGGTAAGGCCACACTTGAAGTACTGCACCCAGTTTTGGTCGCCACAATGTAAAAAAGATGTTGAGACTCTGGAAAGAGTGCAGAGAAGAGCAACAAAGAGGATTAGGGGACTGGAGGCTGAAACATACAATGAACAGTTGCAGGAACCAGGCCTGGCTAGTCTAGTGAAGAGAAGGACCAGGGGAGACAGGAGAGCATCTTCCGATATTTGAGGGGCTGCCCCAGAGAGGAGGAAGGGGGTCAAGCTATTCTCCAAGGCACCCGAAGGCCAGATAAGGAATAATGGATGGAAACTGACCAAGGAGAGATTCAACCTGGAAATAAGGAGGAATTTTCTGACAGTGAGAACCATCAGCCAATGGAACAGAAATTGCCTTTGGAAGTTGTGGGAGCTTCATCTCTAGGCTTTCAAGAAGGGACTGGACTGCCATCTGTCAGAAATGGCGTAGGATCTCCTGCTTGGCTGGTTGGGGGGCAGGTTGGACTAGATGACCTACAAAGTTCCTTCCAGTTCTGTTAATCTGTTAACCTGACGGGCACCCCAACTCAAGGTACAGAACCCTTATCTGATGACTGTCCATAGAAAAGGCAACTAAAGGAAACTGACTGAACAATTTTTAAAAGAGTGAGAACCTCAATTTACAACTCTGCAGAAGAAGACATGGGTGGCCCCCTCTAAGCCTGCTGGAAGACGTCATAGTTGCACCCCAAACTCTGGAGCTACAGATGCAGAAATGGCTGGATGGGTCACAACAACTCAACTCCAATCTTACGTATCCATCAACTTTCTCAGAAGGGGCCTCTTCCACCATCTGGGGTACCTTTGGGCCATCACACAGTTGACTTACATGTCTGGATGGATGGATGGATGGATGGATAGATGGATGGATGGATGGATGGATGGATGGATGGAACTTCCTCAGGGTGCTCAGATCTTTCCTCACTAATCTTCTCTTGGGCTGCCAGTTATATAGTTGTCCGTGAATGAAAGAACCAATTCAGGGCTTTGATAACCACGGAGATGTGATACAAACTCAGAAGGAGATCTTCCAAGATAAATATTTTTCACGAACATCTTGAAGCTTAGAGGCATTCTTCAGTGCCAGGCTCATGTGACTCTTCCAGGTGATCTGTCAAACCAACGGCCTGGAACAGGTCATCTGTCCACCAGGAGCCAGAATAAGAAAGAAAAGGAGGGGAACATGCTACACCATAACATGGTTTACAGAATAGACTAGAATAGAATTCTTTATTGGCCAAGTGTGATTGGACACACAAGGAATCTAGTTATTATCTAGTTTCGGCTTAGTTGTGTTGTGTCAGCAGATCCCCCAAGGAATCTAATCTCTTCTTAAATAGTAATGGAGCACCCCCAACTTCTGGAGGCAAGCTTTCCACTGATGAATTGTTCTAACTTTCAGGAAATTCCACCTTAGTTGTAGGCTGAATCCCTCCCTGATATGTTTCGACCCGTTACTTCTTATCCTGCCCTCAAATACTTTGGAAAATAGGTTGACCCTCTCCTCTTTGTGGCAGCCCCTCAAATATTGAAACACTGCATATCATTCATAATATGGAGCACCTACAACATCTGAAGGCAAGTCCTTCAACTGGTTAACTGTTCTCATCCATTAGCTTCCACCCGTTGTTGTTTCTTCTCCTGCCTTCTGATGCTTTGGAGAATAGGTTGACCCCCCTCTTCTTTGGGGCAGCCCCCTCAAATATTGGAACACTGCATATCATTCTTAATATGTTTTTATCCTTTCTAGATGCCTAATCATCTTCGTAGTGGCCATGCTGTGTTTTATACAGAATATAGAACAACAGAGATGGAAGGGACCTTGGAGGTCTTCTAGTCCAACTCCCTGTTGGAGCAAGAAGAGATTCTACATCGCTCTGGACAAAAGGCTGCCCAGTCTCTTCTTAAAAACCTCCAGTGACCCTATTTTTTTTATTATTTATTTATTTATTTATTTTTTGGCTCTTATCGAACTATCACCTCACTCAGAATTCAAAAATATTTGTCTAGGATGTTCTCCAGGGCCTTTTTTTTTTTATTTCATTATCAGGAGCATATTCTGTTCTGATGCAAACAGGGGACATGGTGTTTCAAACACCTTTTGAGCGTATTTAGATGAAAGGAGCTGGCTTTGACACCGGGACTTAATATTTTACTGAACTCTTCAGGCCCCAAACCAGCATAATTAGAGGCCCCTGAAAAACAATCTAAATCACATTGTGTTTCTGAATGGTTAAACTAAATAGCATTTAGATGCGCTCCGAAATCTCACAATGGAATCCAAAAGGACTCCTGCTGATTTTATCACTGGGTCCGCCTGGTTGTGAAAGGTATATAAAGTTGTTGGTGAACAATACTTTCTCTAGATTGAGAGAAATTTCCATCCTTACGACCAGCAGGGAAAGAAGGTAAGGAAAAGGGGAAGTGGGGTGCGAGGAGTAGCTGACCCAGAACGAAGTAGGGAGAATTATAATTTTATAATTATAATTCACAACTCCCGAATGTCTCCAGTTTACTCCTCTGCAAAAATTTGAGGTAGCAAAGAGCAATGGAATTGGATTTTCTGCACAGGCAGGAAACCAGCGGTCTTTGAAACAAAAGAAGAACCTAATCACAGAATTGGAAGGGACCTTGGAGGTCTTCTAGTCCAACCCCCTGCTCAGATCTCTAGAAATTGTGAGTGCTCCCACACTGGAGATTTTTAAGAAGAGATTGGACAGAACGATGTAAGTAGCCCTCCATTTATGAGCCCAATGGAAGCCAACACTTCTGTTGCTAAGTGAGACATCCGTTAAGTGAATTTTGAACCCTTTTGTGAATCACTGCAGTTGTTAAGTTAGATTCATGACTGTTAAACGAATCTGGCTTCTCCATTCATTTTGCTGGTCAGAAGGTCGCAAAAGAGGGATGTGACCCCCAGGACAGTGCAACCGTCATAAATATGAGTCAAATAGGGCCAAGAGTCTGAATTTTGATCACGTGACCACGGGGGATGCCGCCATGGTCGTAAGTGTGAAAAAGTCACTTTTTTCAGTGTCGTCGTAACTTTGAATGGTCATTAAACAAACTTTTGTAAGTCAAAGACTACCTGTATAAGGTCTTCTGCTCAACCAGGGCTTGGACTAGAAAACTTCTGAGGTCCCTTCCAACTCTTTTTTATAGATATAATTTTTTAAATTTTATTTTAGTACCAATAATCCATCTTCCATTAAACAGTGTGTCATCTGGGTACAAAGGAACTGGGTATGTCTAGTCTGATGAAAAGATGGACTGGGGTGACATGAGAGGAGTCTTCCAATATCTCAGGGGCTGCCCCAAAGAAGAGGGAGTCAAGCTATTCTCCAAAGCACCTGAAGGCAGAACAAGAAGCAATGGGTGGAAACTCATCAAGGAGAGAAGCAACTTAGAACTAAGGAGGAATATCCTGTTAATGAGAACAATTAATCAGTGGAACCACTTGCCTCCAGAAGTTGTGAATGCTCCAACACTGGAAGCTTTTAAGAAGATGTTGGATAACCATTTGTCTGGAGTGGTGTAAGGTTTCCTGCCTGGGCAGGGGGTTGGACTAGAAGACCTCCAAGGTCCCTTCCAACTCTATTATTCTATTCTATTCTAAATGTTTGTGCAATAACAGTTAAAATTTGCAATCATCTTCATTATTTAATCTATTCTTAGCTTAATACCAATACATTAAATATCTAATACTTTACATCCTCTTCTTAATTTGCTTCACTCAATTTATTAACCATTTTCTTTATTTTACTCATCTACTTTTATTTCTAACTTTTCTAGTTCTCGATAAAATGTTTCCCATATCGCATAATAACCAGTTTGTTCTTTCTCTTTAATTGCCAGTGTTAATCTATTCATTTCTGCACGTTCTAATATTATCCTTATCATATTCTCCTCTGTAGGGATCTCTTCACTTTTCCAGTTGTGTGCAAATACAATTCTAGCTGTGGTTATTACATGAATAATCAAACATACATTTTCTTTACTATAAGTTTCTGGTAAGATCCCCGACAGAAATATTTCCGGTTTCAAGTCAATATGCGGTTATATCATCTTTTCCAACCATGTGCATATTTTTATCTAATATGTTTTAGCTTCTACACATGTCCACCACATATGATAATATGAGCCTGGTGGCATTTCCAACATTTAGCTGATTTATCTTTAAACATCTTCGCCAATCTTGCCAGTTGCAAACGCCATCTGTAAAACATTTTATACAAATTCTCTTTATACGCAGTTGACATTGTTAGTTTGTAATTTCTATCCCATAATTGTCCCTTCCAACTCTACGATTCTGTTATTCTGTATAAAAATGATCAGGGGTCTGCAGCAGTGGTGAAATTCATTTTTTTTTACTACCAGTTCTGTGGGCGTGGCATGGTGGGGGTGGGGTGGCTTGGTGGGCGTGGCAGGGGAAGGATACTGCAAAATCCCCATTTCCTCCCCACTCCAGGGAAAGGATACTGCAAAATCCCCATTCCCTCCCCACTCCTGGGGGAAGGATACTGCAAAATCCCCATTCCCTCCCCACTCCTGGGGAAAGGATACTGCAAAATCCCCATTCCCTCCCCATTCCAGGGGAAGAATACTGCAAAATACCCATTTCTTCCCCTCTCCTGGGGGAAGGATACTGCAAAATCTCCATTCCCTCCCTACTCCTTGGGGAAGGATATTGCAAAATCCCCATTCCCTCCTCACTCCAGGGGAAGGATACTGCAAAATCTCCATTCCCTCCACACTCCTGGGGAAAGGATATTGCAAAATCCCCATTCCCTCCCCACTCCAGGGGAAGGATACTGCAAAATCTCCATTCCCTCCACACTCCTGGGGGAAGGATACTGCAAAATCTCCATTCCCTCTCCACTCCTGAGGGAAGGATACTGCAAAATCCCCCATTCCCTCCCCACTCCTGGGGAAAGGATACTGCAAAATCCCCATTCCCTCCTTACTCCTGGGGGAACGATATTGCAAAATCCCCATTCCTATCCCACTCTTGAGGGAAGGATATTGCAAAATCTCCATTCCCTCCCCACTCTTGAGCCAGCCAGAGGTGGCATTTGCCAGTTCTCTGAACTCCTCAAAATTTCTGCTACTGGTTCGTCAGAACCTGTCAGAACCTGCTGGATCTCACCCCTTCTCTGCAGACTAAAACATATGAAGAACAATTGCAAGAACTGGGTATGTCTATCCCAAACGAAGAGACGGACTGGGGGTTGGGACTTGTTAGTCCTAGAGTATTGCAACCCCATCCAGAACTTGGGATGGAAGATCGCCTGATCCAGGTTTCACCTTGGCACCTCGACGTTCACACCTTCCACTTCTCCCCACAGATTCCCAGGTTGAAAAAATGTGGGCCTTCCTGGTCTGGATCCTCTTCTGCAGCCTGATTGGGCCTCTGCAAGGCGTCGTACAAGAAAATTCCCCGGGAATGATAGGCGTCATCAGCAAAGCAGCCGCAAACAAATGTAAGAAGCACTCTTGGCTTGATTTGCAGCGTCCAAGGAGAAACCCCTCCTGGTGCTGCTTTCTGCTTTTTCCCTGTCCACAAGATGCTTTTTTTTTTCCAAGAGGAATCTGGACTTTCTGGTTTTTTCTATGAAGACATTTCGCTTCTTATCCAAGAAGCTTCTTCAGCTCTGACTGGATGGTGGGGAAGGGAAGGATTTCTACTCCTTGCAGGCAGCTGGTCATTTGCATCAGTGGTGGGTTTCAAAATTTTTTACTACCGGTTCTGTGGGCGTGGCTTGGTGGGTGTGGCAGGGGAAGGATACTGTAAAATCTCCATTCCCATCCCACTCCAGGGGAAGGTTACTGCAAAATCCCCATTTCCTCCCGATCAGCTGGGACCTGGGAGGCAGAGAATAGATGGGGGCGGGGCCAGTCCGAATTTTTACTACCAGTTCTCTGAACTACTCAAAATTTCCACTACTGGTTCTCCAGAACTGGTCAGAACCTGCTGAAACCCACCTCTGATTTGCATCCTTTTAGAGGGTTGTTGAGGCCACTTGGAGGTTTATCTGTGTCCTCAAGCTCACCTGAGTGATACAAATGGGCGTAGAGCTTTCTTCGGGTCTGCGCACGTCTCATTGCATTGTACTGTGTACCCCAAGGATGAAACACCCAGACACAAACTCAGCAAAGTGGTATAGGCAGTACAATGCAGTGAGCCATGTGCAGATCTGTACATTGGGGAAACAAAACAGCCACTTCACAAACACATGGCACAACATAGTAAAACAAACTCACCAGGACTAGATTCAGCAGTCCATCTGCATTTAAAAGGCAAAGGCCCCTCTTTTGGAGACAGCAAAGTCCATGTTTTGGACAGAAAGGGACGCTGGTTTAGAAGAGGGGTCAAAGAGGCCATCTTTGTCCAAATTGAACAGCCCTGTCTCGACAGAGGGGGAGGGAAACGACATCATCTATCCAATCTCCAACACGGTCCTTTCCGCAGTTCTAAGAAAGCTCCACACATTCACACCACTCAGGTGATCCTGAGGACACAGATGAACCTCCAAGTAGCCTCAATGTCCTTCTAAAAGGATGCAAATGACCAGCTGTCTGCAAGCAGTAGAAATCCTTCCATTCCCCTCCATCCTGTCAGAGCTGAAGAAGCTTCTTGGATGAGAAACGAAACGTCTTCAAAGAAAATCAGAAAGTCTAGTTGCCTCTTGAAAAAGCATCTTTGGGACAACCACGACCTGGATGAATGAGAATCTCTATAGATATTTGGCTTTTCTTTGGTTCTCCCACTTACTCTGGTCGTTCTTGGGTTGGGGTTGGCTAATCAGCTACTATTGTCCCTATCTACTTTTATTTAATTATTAAATTTATATATTGCCCATCTCACCAGTAAGGTCGGAATAGTATAAGGACTCCTGCCTTGGATTAAAAGACCTCTGAGGTTCCTTCCATCTCTAGGATTCTATGTTCTAAGGCAGGGGTCTCCAAACCTGGCCACTTTAAGACTTGTGAACTTCAATTCCCAGAATTCCTTAGCCAGCATGGTCCACAAGTCTTAAAAAGTTGCCATGTTTGGAGACACCTGTTCTAAGGCAACTCTAGGTGGGTGTCAAACTATAAAAAGATCAATTGGAAAAGAATTCAAATTTTAAACACTACAGTAGTGGCCAAAATTGTGAAAACCTTTTGGGAAAAGTGTATTTTTGAGGTTTGATGGATAATAATACCACTTTTTTGGGGGGGGGGAGTTTCAAGATCATCCTATTCCACTGCTGGAATGACCTGGGAATAGCCCAGACCTTCACCCAATTGAAAATCTAGGGAGCCGACTAAAGAAACTTGTTAGTCAGAAGTGACCCAGCAATAAAACCCAGTTAATAGAAGCCATCATTCCATCTTGGTTTCCCATTAGAACAGCTGCAGAACTCAAAGACTTGGTTCACTCCATGGGAAGACGTTGTAAGGCCGTCATTCATGCTAAAGGTTACCCCCAACTAAGGATTAACTGACATGGGGATCATTTTTGTACATCTCGTTTTTTCTACGTGTTTCACTTTCCTTCTTTATACTGTAACTGCTATTCTAATAGCAAATCCTTCATAAAAGTTATTGCATGACATTCTTGATTAAATTACCTTTCCGTTGATATATAATTTTATGGTACTACTTCAAAAAAAAAAAGTGGTGTTATTAGCTAGTTTTAGAAAATACACTTCTGCCAAAAGGCTTCCACAATTTTGGCCTCTACTGTATATAAAAACCTAGAACAGAGGAGATGGATGGCACGGGGATGAGATCTTCCCCCATCAGCCATCTCCAGTGCTGAGTGATCCTCTTAGGACCCCAACTTTTGATAGGTCAAAAGAGGAGGAAGTCAAACCAGTGGGACAAGTGGGGGCCACAGCGGAAAGGCTCTTCTCCTAGACCCCAGATTCCCCAAGATTCCCAAACCCCAGTCTGTGGATTGGTACCAGTCCAGGGCCCATGGGCATTGCAAGTGGGAGGCACATGCACGAAATGATCCTCTCTGCCCCCACCCCATCACTGCCGGCCCATGGAGACAGAAAGGTCTGGCTGTCAGACTTCGATGCTATCTCATAATAAATGAATTTCCAAACTGCCAATCTTTAAGGAAATCTTCTCTTTAATTGAGCGCAGCAACCGGAACATGACTCGATGTCTGACAGATGGACAAGACTGACCTTTGGCCCCCCCAATCCCTCCCTTTCCGATCCCCAATTATCTGCTTCTCATTGGCTATCTTCCAAGTCACTCCACTGACTTCTTGTCTCGTCATTTCACAGGAATGTCTACCCCCTTCCTCATTTCCATGACGACCGGGCTTCAAAGGGATTTAGCAGGCAAAAGTTCAGGGCTTATCTCTCTCCTCTCTATGCCAGCGGTGAGACGCTGACACTGGCACTGCTGCCTTAGCTGACAGGGTCCCCCAGCAGTCCCCTTCTGCTGGAATGAGGGGGGTGGGCTAGTCCACATTGGGGTGACATGGCTCCTCAAGTTGACTTGGCAGAATAACAAGAAGACAAGGATGGGTGGGGAGAAAACACGGGTCTAGGGGCAATTGTGTTTGTTTGTTTGTTTGTTTGTTCATTTGTTTGTGTGATTGATTGATTGATTGATTGATTGATTGATTGATTGATTCTTTTATCCAGCCTTTAATATTTTATTACTAGTAATTCCAGGTGATGAACGTATTTAACACTCCTTCCTCCTTCTGTTTTTTCCACAACAACCCTTTACTTTACTTTACTTTTATTTGATTTATATGCCGCTCTACTCCCAAAGGACTCAGGGCGGTGAACAGCCAACAATAAAATACATACATACAAAATTAAAAAAGCAGAAACAAAATCGATTTAAATAGTTTGGCCCAGACAGATTAAAACCCCAATCAATTTAAAAGAAATTTAAACTTTGAATATTAAAAAATTAAAAAAATATTTAAAAATGTTTAAAAAGGGGATTTAGGCGAGGCCAGCTTGATGAAATAAAAAAGTCTTAAGCGCGCGACGGAAAGTGCGCAGATCCGGGATCCTCCATATCTCCGGGGGGAGCTCGTTCCAGATAGTGGGTGCCCCCACAGAGAAGGCTCTCCCCCTGGGGGCCGCCAGTCGACATTGTTTGGCCGACGGCACCCGGAGGAGCCCCTCTCTATGGGAGCGTACTGGCCGGTGGGAGGCTATTGGTGGTAGTAGGCGGTCAACCCTGTGAGGTGGATGGGGCTGAGAGAAATTGACTGGCTCAAAGCCATCCATCCGCTAAGGTGGGACTAGAACTCACTGTCTCCTGGTGATTGGCTGAAGGTCACAAGCTGGCTTGCATAATTAAGGCAGGGATTGGAACTCACTAGCTCCTGGTAATTGGCTCAAAGTCACCCAATTGGCTTTCATGCCTAAGGTAGGCACTAGAACTCACCATCTCCTGGTGATTGACGCAAAGTCACTCATCCAGCTTTTGTATCTAGGAGGGCACTAGAACTCACCATCTCCTAGTGACTGGCCCAAAGTCATCCATCTGATTTATATGTGTAAGGCAGGGCTAGAACTTACTGTCTCCTGGTGAAAGTCACCTAGTCAGCTTTCATGCCGAAGTAAGACTAGAACTCACAGTCATCTGGTTTCTAGGCCAGCATCTTAACCACTGCATCAAACTTGCTCTTCTGTAGGCTCTGAAGAGGGACCGGAAGAACAATGAGAGGGCCATACCAAACTGATAAGATCTGGAAATGGGACCTCCCAAGTCCATTTGGGAGAAATGAAAAGTCCCTTCAGGTGGCCAGGCTGGATTGATTCGGGAATATAAAGCTCATGTGAAAGTAACATTCATGGAATGTCTTACCAGAGATGGTGAGACTGAGCTGGGTCAGCTATCCATGAGGTATCAAAGGTATCCCTTGATTTGTGTAGAGGGTAGAGGAACATCTACATAGCTCCAGGCCCTTTGTTGGTAAGGAGGTGATGGGAGTACTGAAGCCACCTGAGAAAGGGGTAGATGAGAAGAAGCTGGGAGATGGTTTGTGGCCAGCTTCCACGTCTTCCTCAAGTGGGGTCTTCTCCTGAAGTTGACCTGAAGAGCACGATCCTATGGAAGCTCTAACAGATATTGAAGATCATATGAGGATTTAAGGAAAAACACCAGACAGTCTGAGCATTACAAGGTTTTATGTCTGTTGGGTCTCAGCCAACAAGAAAAGACAACTCAAGGGAGGTACTAATACCACTCTAGAATAGAATAGAATAGAATAGAATAGAATAGAATAGAATAGAATAGAATAGAATAGAATAGAATAGAATAGAATAGAATAGAATAGAATAGAATAGAATAGAATAGAATTCTTTATTGGCCAAGTGTGATTGGACACACAAGGAATTTGTCTTGGTGCATACGCTCTCAGTGTACATAAAAGAAAAGATACATAAAAGAAAAGATACAACCCTACACAACTCCTTAGTAAGACCACACCTAGAATCCACTTTAGGTCACCACACTATAAAAACAGATGTTGAGACTGTAGAAAGAGTGCAGAGAAGAGCAACCAGGATGATGAGGGGACTGGAGGCTCAAACATATGATGAACGGTTGCAGGAACTGAGCATGGCTAGTCTAGTGAAGAGAAGGAGCAGGGGAGACATGAGAGCAGTCTTCCAATATCTCAGGGTCTCCCACAACGAAGAGGGGGTCCACCTATTCTCCAATGCACCAGAAGGCAAGATAAGAAAAAATGGATGCAAACTAACCAAGGAGAGAATCAACCTAGAACTAAGGAGGAATTTCCTACCAGTTAGAACAATTAATTTGTGGAATGGCTTGTTTTCAGAAGTTGTAGGTGCTCCAACTTTGAAGACTTTTAAGAAACAATTGGACAGGCATTTGTTTGAGATGATATAGGGTTTCCTGCTTCATCAGGGGGTTGAACTCGAAGACCTCTAAGGTCCCTTCTCTGTTCTCTGCTGTCATGTCACTCCTAGTCCTTCTGTTCATTAGACTACAAGATAAAAGGTAAAGATTCCCCTCGCACATATGTGCTAGTCGTTCTCAATTCTAGGGGGCGGTGCTCATCTCCGTTTCAAAGCCCAAGAGCCAGCGCTGTCCAAAAACGTCTCCGTGGTCATGTGGCCGGCATGACTCAACACCAAAGGCGCACGGAACATTGTTACCTTCCCACCAAAGGTGGTCCCTATTTTTCTACTTGCATTTTTTACCTGCTTTCGAACTGCTAGGTTGGCAGAAGCTGGGACAAGGAACGGGAGCTCACCCCGTTACGCGGCACTAGGGATTCGAACCGCTGAACTGCCGACCTTTCGATCGACAAACTCAGCGTCTTAGCCACTGAGTCACCGTGTCCCTCTGACATTAGACTAAACATACCCAATTCCTGCAAACGTTCTTCATATACAGATTACAGATTAACAGGGTTGGAAGGGACCTTGTAGGTCATCTAGTCCAACCTCCCACCCAAGCAGGAGACCTACACCATTTCTGACCGATGACAGTCCAGTCTCTTCTTGAAAGCCTCCAGGGATGAAGCTCCCACAATTTCTGAAGGCAACTTCTGTTCCACTGGTTGATTGTTCTCACTGTCAGAAAATTCCTCCTTATTTCCAGGTTGAATCTCTCCTTGGTCAGTTCCCATCCATTATTCCTTGTCTGGCCTTCGGGTGCCTTTGGAAAATAGCCTGACCCCCTCCTCTCTATGGAAGCCCCTCAGATATTGGAAGATGCTCTCCTGTCTCCCCTGGTCCTTCTCTTCACTAGACTAGCCATGCCAAGTTCCTGCAACCGTTCATCGTATGTTTTAGTCTCCAGTCCACTCATCATCTTGGTTGCTCTTCTCTGCACTCTTTCTACTTTTTACTTCTATATCCTTTAGCCTCCAGAACCCTGATCTTTTTCATTGCACCGAACCTTTGCTTACTAGGAAAAATTATGAACCTTCAGAGAACCTCAGAAATTCATCATGGAAAGTCCCATGCATGAAGCAACATGGCCCTTTTGGTATTTGTGGGCAGAGTCAGGATTTCTCAATGCCCCTGCAGCACCACTTCACGGACAACCAGTTCTTGGGTGACCTTTTCTCCAAGTTCACTGCTGAAGATCACTCATCCCTCCATGGCCATCCCAGGAGCCTCGTGTCCCTAAAACAAAAGGCACACCTTGGCCCATTCCCAAGAATATGTCCCCTTCTTACACGTTGGACTTCTGCCAGAAGCAACTGCTTCATGGAAAAGAAAAGAAACAACGTCATCAGCATAAACAATATTTACAACTCAGCCTTTGATTCTTTTTTACCTCTTGATGAAAGATAAGGCTTCCACAGTTCTATTATTTTCCAAAAAAGAAATACTTAATAGAATAACAGAGTTGTTATTCTTCTATGTCTTCTAGTCCAACCCCCTGCTTAGGCAGGAAACCCTACAACCACTTCAGGCAAATGGTTGTCCAATCTTTTCTTAAAAACTTCCAGTGTTGGAGCATTCACAACGTCTGGTGGCAAGCAATTCCACTGGTTAATTGTTTTTACTGTCAGGAAATTTCTCCTTAGTTCTAGGTTGCTTCTCTCCTTGAATAGTTTCCATTCATTGTTTCTTATTCTTCATTCCGGTGCTTTGGAGAATAGCTTGACTCCCTCTTCTTTGGGGCAGCCCCTGAGATATTAGAAGACTGGTATCATGTCATCCTTAGTCCTTCTCTTCATTAAACTAGATATACCCAGTTCCTGCAATCGTTCTTTGTATGTTTTAGCCTCCAGTCCCCTATTCATCTATGTTGCTCTTCTCTGCACTCTTTCTAGAGTCTTAATGACAACTGAGAACCCATAAAACCTTTAAATCTTTATATTTAAAACAGCAGGCTTCTGAAAACTCTATGGACACAGGTCAACAATGCCATTCAGATGAAGGTGTTTCTGATAAAGGAGAATACTTGTAGCTCAGAATTGAAATGGGAGGTCCTTGGTGTTCCCTGAGCTTGGCTGTTTTCTTGCAGATGTTTCACGACTCAACTAGGTAGCATCATCAGTGCTAGAAGGGAGTGGGGTTTGCAGAGAGGAGGAGGAGGGAGGAGGAGGAGGAGGAGGAGGAGGAGGAGGAGGAGGAGGAGGACTGTGGGGACTTTGGAGGTCTCTGAGTTGGGTTGTTTTCTTGCATGGGGTTAGGTGGGTGCCACCATGAGGTGGAAGAAAATATACAAAACTGCTCCAAACGAAAATGTAGTTAAGATGTTCACCACCAAAACAGAGGAGGAAAATGATTGTGGAATCAGCTCCCTCCTGACCAGTTGGTTGCCAAGCTAAATCCAGATCTGATCCAGCTGACCCTCGAGCAGCTTCTTCCTTGGGGCTGATCCTCTGCCAAAAAAACTAAGAATCTGAATTACAAGCATCGCAGATGGCACCATATCTCAATCTCAGACATTTTAAGAAGTGTGGACCTCAACTCCCAGAATTCTCCAGCCAGAATTCTGTTGAATTCTGGGCGCTGAACTCCACACATCTTAGTTTCCAAGCTTGAAAAAATGTCGATATACAGTATTAGCCTCTCTTCCTCTGCCTCCCTTTCAGATGTCACCAACGTCTTTCTTCAGAATTCGCTGATACAGAGTCACCTCCAGCTCATTCAGTTCCCAGAAGTCCCTCACAAAGGACATCTTGAACATTGGATCAAGGAGTAAGTAAACCAGAGATGGCAACCTCATGTTTGCACTTTTCTTATTGGTCAGTTGTATCTGTTGTGAAACTAAAATTATACAAAATTGTTGTCTCCCAAGGAAGGGAAGGGAAGGGAAGGGAAGGGAAGGGAAGGGAGGGAGGGAGGGAGGAAGGAAGGAAGGAAGGAAGGAAGGAAGGAAGGAAGGAAGGAAGGAAGGAAGGAAGGAAGGAAGATCCATGAAGGATGGATCCACAAAGGATGGATGAATGAAAGGATGGATGGATGGAAAATGGATGGATGGATGATGCAGATGTGGGATGATGGATGGATAGATTGGATGGATGATGGATGGATGGAAGATGAGGGAGGGAGGGAGGATGATGGATGGATGGATAGAGGATGATGGATGGATGGATGGATGGATAGATGGAAGATGATGGACAGATCAATGGATAGATGGATAAATTAATAGAGGGATGGATGGATGGGGGATGATGGATGGATGAATGGATTAATAGATGGATGGATGATGGATGGATGGATGGATAATAGAGATGCAGGATAATAGATGGATGGAGGATGATGGAGGGAAGGAGGAGGATGGATGGATGGATGGATGGATGGATTAATGGATGGAGGATGGAGGATGGATGGATGGATGGATGGATGGATGGATGGATGGATGGATGGAAATCAAAACCTCTTCCTCCAAATTCTACTACTAAAAAGGACATTTCATGGCCCAATTCCACAAAGCTCTAGGAGCTGCAAAAGTCCATTTGGGCATCCTCAGAGGAGGACTAAGAGACAATAAATCCACGGTAGTAGAAACGCTACTAGAACATGCAGATGGGCTTCAATCATGGAGTTGCAACTACCACCTTGATTTTTTGCCAGTCTCTGGGGGCTGCTCCTGTTCTGGGTAGGCCATTGTCAGCCCTGCCCTGGCCCAATAGGGCATCATGTTACAGGACCGGGGACTCCTCCAACCTTGGCAACTTTAAGACTTATGAACTTCAACTCCCAGAATTCCTCAGCCAGCAAAGCTTGTGAACTTCAAGACTTGTGGACTTCAACTCCCAAAGTTCCTCAGCCAGCAAAGCTGGTGAACTTCAAGACTTGTGGACTTCCAACTCCCAGAGTTCGTCAGCCAGCAAAGCTTGTGAACTTCAAGACTTGTGGACTTCAACTCCCAGAGTTCGTCAGCCAGCAAAGCTTGTGAACTTCAAGACTTGTGGACTTCAACTCCCAGAGTTCGTCAGCCAGCAAAGCTGGTGAACTTCAAGACTTGTGGACTTCAACTCCCAGAGTTCCTCAGCCAGCAAAGCTTGTGAACTTCAAGACTTGTGGACTTCAACTCCCAAAGTTCCTCAGCCAGCAAAGCTTGTGAACTTCAAGACTTGTGGACTTCAACTCCCAGAGTTCGTCAGCCAGCAAAGCTGGTGAACTTCAAGACTTGTGGACTTCAACTCCCAGAGTTCATCAGCCAGCAAAGCTTGTGAACTTCAAGACTTGTGGACTTCAACTCCCAGAGTTCGTCAGCCAGCAAAGCTGGTGAACTTCAAGACTTGTGGACTTCAACTCCCAGAGTTCGTCAGCCAGCAAAGCTTGTGAACTTCAAGACTTGTGGACTTCAACTCCCAGAGTTCCTCAGCCAGCAAAGCTGGTGAACTTCAAGACTTGTGGACTTCAACTCCCAGATTCCTCAGCCAGCAAAGCTGGTGAACTTCAAGACTTGTGGACTTCAAGACTTGTGGACTTCAACTCCCAGAGCTTTGCTGGCTGAGGAACTCTGCGAGTTGAAGTCCACAAGTCTTAAAGTTGCCAAGGTTGGAGACCCTTGTTTACAGGACACCTGCTGACCTCTGCAAAGCTACAAGAAGGAGCTGGGACTCTCCTGGCCCTGGCAGTCCCATCTCTTGCATCAGCTGGCACACGTGTCCTTCCACCTTTGCCTCAAATAATGCCACCTGGTCCTTGGCTGGTTGGTTGGCTGGCAGGGTAGGGCCTTCTCTGATCCCTTGACTGCTTCATCTGATTTGCCAGCCCAGCGGTGAGTGCAAGAGGCCCTGGCTCGTACAACAGGGATAGAGGGTGGATGACCTTCAGAGGAGAAGATAAACATGGCTTGTAATCTCAGGCCACAAAAATACAACAAAGCCTGCAGCGTTTTTGGCTTATCAGGAAAAAAACATCTGAGTCCACAGTGGCTTGCTTGAATTGGCCGAGAAGTCAGCAGCAGCCGGAGGTGGGGAGATCCCACAAAGAGGCCATTCTTCTCGGAGTTTGGATTGCCTTGAAGGAGGAACTGGTGGTGCCCTAAGAGTTGAGGTCAGCTTTCTCCAGCCAGCCTCTGGGGTCCCTTGCCCCTACAACTTTTTTTTTATTATTTTTTATTTATATGCCGCCCTTCTCCGGAGACTCAGGGCGGCTTACAATGCGTTAAGCAATAGCCTTCATACTTTTGTATATTTATACAAAGTCAGCTTATTGCCCCCATAATCCGGGTCCTCATTTTACCTACCTCGGAAGGATGGAAGGCTGAGTCGACCTTGAGCCTGGGGAGATTTGAACTTACAGTAATTGCAGGCAGCAGATGTAAGTGGATGTTAATTAGTCTGCTGAGCCACCAGAGCTCTTCCCATTTATTAAGAAACTTGATATGTGTTTAGAAAGGTAAAGGTACAGGTTCCCCTTGCACATACGTGCTAGTCGTTCCTGACTCTAGGGGGCGGTGCTCATCTCCGTTTCAAAGCCGAAGAGCCAGCGCTGTCCAAAGACGTCTCCGTGGTCATGTGGCCGGCATGACTCAACACCAAAGGCGCACGGAAGGCTGTTCCCTTCCCACCAAAAGTGGTCCCTATTTTTCTACTTGCATTTTTTTATGTGCTTTCGAACTGCTAGGTTGGCAGAAGCTGGGACAAGTCACGGGAGCTCACCCCATTATATGCGGCACTAGGGATTCGAACCGCTGAACTGCCAACCTTTCGAACGACAAGCTCAGCATCTTAGCCACTGAGCCACCGTGTCCTCTTATATATGTCTTTATATATCACAATAATTGCCTTAGTGTCTTAGAGAAGGAAAACCCTGGCACAAAACTCAATGAACCCCCTGCCCTAGCCTCCTTGTGACCATAATCAAACCAACTGTTTTGCGGGCATCTCCGTATCTCTTTGGGGCCTACAGACCGGCTGACAGAAGCCTGACCTTGGGGCCTTTCAAAAGAGTATGAAGGTGGGGGCCGATCTCATCTTAGCAGGGAAGGGAGGGAGGGAAGGAGGGAGGCATCTAAAAAGGAGGAAATTTCCTGATCTATATAAATTAGAGACAGACAGAGAGGTAAGAGATAGATTATAGATGATATAGCTGATAGATACTGTAGGTGATGACATAATAAAAGAGAGAGGGGTGTATTTGTGTGTGTGTGTGTGAGAGAGAGAGAGAGATGAAAGATGAGATATAGATGAGAGAGACATATAGATGATCGAAAAATAGATGATAGAGATAGATAGATAGATAGATAGATAGATAGATAGATAGATAGATAGACAGACAGACAGACAGACAGACAGACAGACAGACAGACAGACAGATGATGGATTGATGATAGGAGAGATAGATGATAGATAGATAGATAGATAGATAGATAGATAGATAGATAGATATAGACAGACAGACAGACAGACAGACAGATGATGGATTGATGATAGGAGAGATAGATAGATAGATAGATAGATAGATAGATAGATAGATAGATAGATAGATAGATAGAAAGAAAAAGAGATGACAGAGAGATAGATGACAGGTGATAGATGACATAAATAATAGATAAATGTTGTGAGGGAAGGAGGGAGGGAGAAAATAAAAGTGTGCAGCAAAGAGAACCCCAAATACCAGCCCTTCAGACGTGCCTGGGGGTGGTTTCTTAACCCTGCAGATATTTTTTTTTTTTTTACTGAAGGCTTCCTCACTCTAGCTTGCCCATCCCCTCATCCTGTTTCATCAAAGCTGAGGAAGGGGCAAAGGCCAGACTCCTGTCCCTTCCGTCTCCTGGGCCATCCCTTGGCACGGGCCTTGGCTTGACATTCTGTCCTCTGCCAAGGCACCCAGGGGGCCCCTCTGATCCGCAGCCCCTGGCACGGATCCCGCTCGGAAGAAAGGGTGCTTTTGATGGCTTGTGTACTTAAGGTTTTCTTCCTAACCCAACGTCCCTTTGATCTTGGATTTCTTGACGTTGTGAAAGGGCAAAGGAGCAGAACACAATGGGGACAGCTTGGCTCAGCTCATTCCCCCCCCCCATCCCGCCTCCCAATTAGAATAGAGGATTATGGCAAGAATACATTGGAAAAGGTGTGGATGAGATCTAGTTATGGCAGCCATTGTCTAGTTTGCAAGGACAACCCCTGTGGGGTGCAAAAATGCCAAAAAAAAAAAAGTAGCCGGCAGATTTTGTTTCAGCGTTCTCCCACGCCCTAGGAGAAAGGGGAAAGGGAAGGGAAGAAGGAAGAGAAGGAGATGAAAAAGATGAAAATGAAGAGGAGAAAGGAGGAGAAAGAAGGAGGAGAAGAAGAAGAGAAGGAGGAGAAGGAGAGAAGGAGGAGGAGGAGAGGAAGGGGAGAAGGAGAAGGAGAGGGGGAAGGAGAAAGAGAAGAAGAGAAAGAGAAGGAGAAGGAGAAGGAAAGGGAAAAGGAGAAGGAGAAGGAGAAGGAGAAGGAGAAGGAGAAGGAAAAGGTGAAAAGGAGAAGGAGAAGGGAAAGGGAGAAGGAGAAGGAGAAGGAAAAGGGAAAGGGAAAAGGAGAAGGAGAAGGAAAAGGAAAAGGAAAAGGAAAAGGAAAAGGAAAAGTGAAAAGGAGAAGGAGAAGGGGAAGGAGAAGGAGAAGGGAAAGGGAAAAGGAGAAGGGAAAGGGAAAAGGAGAAGGAGAAGGGAAAGGGAAAAGGAGAAGGAGAAGGAAAAGGAAAAGAAAAGGAAAAGTGAAAAGGAGAAGGAGAAGGAGAAGGGAAAGGGAGAAGGAGAAGGGGAAGGAGAAGGAGAAGGAGAGGGAAAGGGAAAAGGAGAAGGAGAAGGGAAAGGGAAAAGGAGAAGGAAAAGGAGAAGGAGAAGGGAAAGGGAAAGGTAAAAGGAGAAGGAGAAGGAGGAAACTTTCTTTCCTTTGCTGGCTGGGAACTTAATTCTCACACAACAACCTGCTGGCTTATCTTTCTTGGAGTGAAGGAATGTCCTAATTTGGCAAAACCCATTTCAGACCTTCAGTTTGGCCTGTCAGTGTATTAAGACCTACCAGAGGTGGGAAATTGTCCTGAGAAATTCCTGGAGCCCCTGCCTAGCGACTGTGTTGATGGACCTTCAGAGCTGAGGGCCACCTCCTGGTCCTTCTCCCGCTCTCTGAAGCAACCTGGACTTCGCCATCTTTATATGCTGAGCATCTAGCCAAGAATGGGGAAAACCTATGCAAATGTTGGTCTCCTGTGGGTTTTATGAACTCTGGAGGGAGGGAGGGAGGCCGGGGGTTCAATCACTTCAAAAGGTAACCAAGGAATGAACCTTTTCTTGACTAACCGTTTCTTCCCTCAACTCAACCCTAAAGATGGATATCCAAAGTTTGTCACCACCGCGAACTTTGGCTCTCTAGACAATCCCATCCTGCCAGCTTGACCTGTGCTTCTTCAACATGTTAGATCTCAGAGCAACAGAGCTGGAAGTGACCTTGGAGATCTTCTGGTCCACCTCACCTGATAAAGCCTGCCTTACTTACAGCATGCTTGGGCCCAGCAACATCTGAGGAGTCCTTGGTGCTCTCTGAGCTTGGTTCTCTTCTTGCAGACCTGTCACAACCCAATTAGTTTTACCCATCCATGTCTGCAAGAAAACGTCCAATTCAGAGAGCATCAAGGACACCACAATCCTCCTCCCACTCCTCCTCAAGCCCCCTCCTCTTCTAGCACTGATGATGTTCCTTAACTGGGTCATGAACCATCTGCAAAGAAACCACCAACTTCAAAGAGCGCCAAGGACTCCCCAGTTCAACACTGAGCTACAAATATTCTCTTCTACCAACTACATGATTAAGTGGAAACTAGGAGTTGGGTCTCCCCAGCCTTAGATGGACACTCTAGTCCAGCTTTCCCCAACCTCAACCTGCCCTCTATTCCAATAGCCCAGTTTCCCCAATGGCTGTGTCAGGCAATGCTGAAGGTGACATCTGAAGACATCTAGGAAAAGTTGGCCAAACTCAGTTATTGGCCTTCTACAGCCAGCTCAAATTAGATGACCTTATGATTTGCTTAGTTTTGGGTGATTAACAGAGTTGGAATGGACCTTGTAGGTCATCTAGTCCAACCAGCCGCCCAAACAGGAGACCCTACACCATTTCTGATGGATGGCAGTCCAGTCTCTTCTTGAAATCTTCCAGTGATGAAGCTCCCACAACTTCCGAAGGCAACTTCTGTTCCATCGGTTGATTGTTCTCCCTGTCAGAAAAATTCTCCGTATTTTCCAGGTTCCTTCTCTCCTTGATCAGTTTCCATCCATTATTCCTAGTCTGGCCTTCAGGTGCCTTGGAAAATAGCTCCTCTCTGGGGCAGCCCCTCAAATATTGGAAGATGCTATCCTGTCTCCCCTGGTCCTTCTCTTCTCTAGACTAGCCAGGCCCAGTTCCTGCAACTGTTCATTGTATATTATAACAGATACCAGATTAAGAGAGTTGAGAGGGACCTTGTAGGTCATCTAGTCCAACCCCCCCGCCCAAGCAGGAGACCCTACACCATTTCTGACCGATGGCAGTCCAGTCTCTTCTTGAAAGCTTCCAGGGATGAAACTCTCACAAAGACCTTCCAAGGGATCACCAATCTACCCCCCATTTCATCAGGTCTGAGATAACCTGCCCGGACCATCCCAAACCATCTCCTTTCTCACGGCTTCCGTTTCTCCTTCCACAGGTTGCATGTGGTCAGGGTATTTGTGCCCTCCATCCAGACGGAGCTGGGAGAAGAAGTTGGCAGCATTATTGTCAGGACCAGGCTACACTTAAGTGCTAAATTGTGAGTCCTTTTCAGCTCTCTGTCTGCAATCAGTTGCCTTCCTCCCGGGTCCATTTCTCCAAGCAGAGTCCAGTTCTCCCGAAAAAAGGTCACCCAGAATCATTTCTATGCAGGTTGGCACTGGGCAGTTGTGGTTGTCGTTTTCTTGAAGGATTCTTTTGTCGCCTAGCTTCTTCGGCAAGCAGTTTGAACAGATCGATATCTTCATCGATGTGAACTTCAAACAGGAGGCCAGTTTTTTCCACTTCGTGCTGGGCGTCGTCGATCTTTCTTTTGGCACCTGCCGTAGCGACTTCAAAATTGCAAGGATAATCAGCTCTTCCCGGTAAGTCCTGACGTAATTTTGAATCACCAGCGACAATCTAACGCTTCACTGGTAGAGCCAGTTTGTTCTATTGATTGAGGCACTAGTATAGAAAGCAGGAGATTGGGAGTTCTAGTCCTGCCTTAGGCATGAAAGCCGATTGGATGATTTGGGGCCAATCATCAGGAGATGGGGAGTTCTAGTTTCTCTTTAGGCATAAAAGGCAGCTGGGTGACTTTGGACCAATCACCCGGAGATGGGGAGTTCTAGTCCCACCTTAGGCGTGAAAAGTGGCTGGGTGACTTTGGATCAATCATCAGGAGTTGGGGAGTTTTAGTCCCACTTTAGACATCCTCCTCCTCTCCACAAATCCCACTCCCTTCTAGCACTGATGATGTTCCCTAGTTGGGTCATGAAACATCTGCAAGAAAATAGCCAAGCTCAGAGAACACCAAGGAGTCCCACAGTCCTCCTCCTCCTCCTCCTCCTCCTCCTCCCATTTTCCTTACACGCCCTCCACTCCACAAACCTTACTAGCACTGATGACATTCCCTAGTTGGGTCATGCAACATGTGCAAGAAAACCTCCAAGCTCAGAGACCACTAAAGACCCTTCAGTCATCTTCCTCTTCCTCCCTGCAAATCCCACTCCCTTCTAGCACTGATGACGTTCCCTAGTTGGGTCATGCAATATCTGCAGGAAAACTTCCAAGCCCAGAGAGCCCCAAAGACCCCACAAACCCCTTACAGAAACCAATAACTTCCAATAGCTAGAGGAGATGTCCCTTGTTTAATTAATCTGTCCATATTAATTTCACCTATTTAAAAGCCACGCTTTGTCAGTTGCAGCCTAGATGTCCAAAAGTCTTAAGCGATGTTTGGTTTTATTGTCCTAGAGCCGTGATGGCGAACCTATGGCACGTGTGCCACTGGTGGCACATGGAGCCATATCAGTGGGCACACGAGCTCAAGCTCCGGTGTGCATCCAGCTGATTTTTGGGCCTTTTGGGCCTACCGGAAGTTAGGAAAAAGGCTATTTCCAGCCTCCGGAGGGCCTCTGGGGGAGTGGGAAAGGCCATTTTTGCCCTCCCCAGGCTCCTAGGAAGGCTCTGGAGCCTGGGGAGAGCAAAAAACGGACCTACCTTGCCATCGCATGCCAAAAGTGGGGGGAACCCGGGGGGATTGCACACGCATGCACACTGGAGGGGCAGGGCGCATAGAATTATCGGTGTGGGCACGTGCGCGAGCGCCCCCCCCCCGCACTCCCCCCACTTTTGGGGGGGGCAAAAAGGTTAGCCATCACTGTGCTAGAGTTTGCTGGGAGGTCAGGAAGGAAAGAGGGCCAAGGTGGGGTGGGCATAGGGGCAGTGGTGAAATCTGAACTGGTTTACTACCGGTTCGGTGTCTGCGCATGCCACCACACCACACACCAAATGCAAGGTGCACACATGTGCGCGCAGTGCACGCCAAAAGGAAGCATGAGGTAAGTAACAACAGCGTGGGAGGGGGGGTGATCAGCTGTGGCGCGCCATCTTTTTTTTAACCTTTTAAAAGCATTTTTTACAACTAAAAAATGCTTTTAAAAGTTTAAAAAATGGCAACTCAGCTGTGATCGTCAGAGCCTTTTTTTTTAACCTTTTAAAAGCATTTTTTAAAAGAAGCGGCAAGCGGGCGACCGGGCGATTGGGTGGGCATGGGCGGGGGTAGGCAGGGATTTTTGCTACCGGTTCTCCGAACCACTTGTCGCCATCGCTACCGGATCGGCCGATCCGGTCTAAACCGGGAGCATTTCACCCCTGCATAGAGGTTTGGTCTTCTTCTTACAAGCAAACCATCCCTTCTTCCTTCCAATCTTTGCTTATTTCTGCAGCCTGCAAGTAGCTAAAGCGAAGCCCATTGTAAAATCGGTCCTTGCATCGTCCCTGCCCAGGTTGGTAAGTAGCTGGCAAATCGTAGCTGGGGATGGCAGCAGAGATGGCACTGGGGAAGCCTGGTGAGGAAGCGGCTCAGGTGGTCCTCTTTTTCTGCCTGTGCCTCTCGAGTAGACCCCTTGAGGTCTCCACCGGACAAAGGATCTGGAAAGTTGGAAGGAGTAGATCCGAGCGGATCAAAATCCCGGAGGGGTTCAGCCGTGGGTGGGGGGGGGAAAGCCTGTGGGACATCCACAGGGCTGGGCAAAAAAGTCAAGATGGCAGCTGTAAGGATGATTCTCCTATGTACAGATTCTCCTATGTACAGGCATTGTATGTACAGGTAGTCCTCGACTTACCACAATTCATTTATTGACCGTTTGGTGCTGAAAAAACAGAAATTAAGACCATTTTTCTCATTCGCGACCACTACAGCATCTTTGTGGTCATACGATTAAAATTCAGAGGCTTGGCAACTGGCATGTACTTATGACGGTTGCAATGTTCCAGGGTCATGTGATTTTTGCTTTTGCAACCTTCCGACGAGCGAAGTCAATGGGGGAGCCAGGTTCACTGAACAAACCATTTCTAAATTAACAATTCACTTAACAACTGCAGCAAGACAGGTTGAAAAATGGAGCAAAAATCACCTAATACCTGTCTCGCTTAGCAACAGAAACATTGGGCTCAACTGTGGTCGTAAATTGAGGATTACCTGTACAGTGTAAAATGGCATGAAGCCTTATGGGCTTCCAGGCACCATAAGGACTGGAATCTGGTAATTTTGCCATGATTTATTGAGGTTGGCTGGGAGTTAGGCAAGGGAGGGTCTTTTTGGCAATTGTTGGGGAAGGAGGCTTGATTTTAAGAATGAGCCAGGGGAACTTTTATCTCACTTTCTTGAAAAATGGGCTGCATACAGGAAACCAAAGTCACATCCCTGAACAAGGATAATAAAAGTGACGAACCTGGATAAATAAAATTAAAAATATTCTAAGAATAATGATGATAGAACTATCAGAGGGGATAAAAAGACAAAAGAATAACAAAACTCCAGGACCAGATGGATTACCTGCAGAAGTTTATAAACACTTACAGGATATATTAAGCATGTCAATATTATAGGTTTATAACAAAGTACTATTAGAAGCTAAGATACCAAATTCGTGGGTAGAAGCAAACATTACATTAATCCCAAAAGAAGACTCAGATTTAACAGATTTAACAAAAAAAGAGCCTTGGTAGTACAGGGGTTTAAGGCACCCTGTTATTAAGCTGGTTATTAAGACCAGCTGCCTGCAATTACTGCAGGGTTCGAATCTCGCCAAGGCTCAAGGTTGACTCAGCCTTCCATCCTTTCTAAGGTAGGTAAATTGAGTGTTGCAATATTTCCAGGATCAGACTCAATAAAGATAATAGAAGTTAACAAAAGGATGAAGGCTATTGCTTAACGCCTTGTAAGCCGCCCTGAGTCTTCGGAGAAGGGCAGCATATAAATCAAATTTAAAAAAAACAAAACATAATAGAACTATAGGCCTATATCGCTATTAAATGCAGACTACAAAATATTTGCATCAACAGGCTAAAGACTAAAGGCTAAAAAAAATATTGAATGAATTTATCCACCCAGATCAAAATGGATTTTTTCCGAAAGACAAATTAGGAACAATGTAAGATTAATTTTAGACCCGCTGGAATATTATGAAGTACAGGCTGAAAAACAAATGGCGTTGATCTTTTTAGATGCACAGAAAGCATTCGATAAGGTAAATTGGCAATTTATGTTATCTCACTTTCTTGAAAACTGGGCTCCATACAAGAAACCAAAGTCAGACCCTGGACCAGGATAATAAAAGTGACAAACCTGGATAAATAAAACTAAAAAAATATTCTAACTCTGATCTATTAAAATTGAGAAAGGGGATAAACTGATAAACTGTAAAAGTTTTTCGATTTGATCAAGAAATCAGTACCAAAAGCAGGCATCCATTAAGCAGAAGGCGGACCTGGTGGATGCTCCATCACTGGAAGTTTTAAGAAAAGACATTCAGTCATTTGTCTGAAATGGTATAGGGCAGTGATGACTAACCTTTTTGCAATCACGTGCCAAAAGCACGGGGGAGCACTGGGGGTCGAGCGTGCGCATGCCAACACCCATAATTCAATGTGCCCGGCCCCCCCATGCATGTACGCATGACACACACACCCGTGCTCCCCCTGCTTTTGGCATGTGATGGCACAGTGGGCCCGGTGGTAGGCCTGTTTTTTGCCCTCCCCAGGCTCTCTAGGAGCCTGGGGAGGGCAAAAAAACAGTCTTCCCCACACCCTGGAGGCCAGAAACAGCCGTTTCCCAATTTCTGGTGGGCCCAAAAGGCCCGAAAATCAGCTGGCTGGCGTATGCATGCACACTGGAACTGAGCTAGGGCAATGCTTGCGTGCCCACAGATATGGCTCCGTGTGCCACCTGTGGCACGTGTGCCATAGGTTCGCCGTCACGGGTATAGGGTCTCTTGCTTAAGCAGGGGGGGGGTGGACTAGGTCCCTTCCAGCTCTGTTCTGATTCTACGATTTGATTCTAGCATCCTGGAGATAGGATAATGCACAAAATCTCTTCCCCGCCAGTCAGTCCAAGAGATGCCCAGCCCAGCGTCTCTGTACAACCTGGACTGCATTTTTTGAATTTGTCACATTAATCCTTCCTGCTTCCTTTCAGCTTTGCGAAACGCTGCAGCGGCTCCATCAAATCATGAGGTTCGATTATCTCTTCACGGTGGATGGTGAGTTCTTGACAATGGAAGAAGGTGTTTGTGGCTCAGGGTTGTGGGGTCCTTGGTGCTACCGGAGCTTGGTTGTTTTCGTGCAGACATTTCATGATCTGACTAGGAAATATTATCAGTGCCAGAAGGGAGGAGGAGGAGGAGGAGGAGGAGGAGGAGGAGGAGGAGGAGGAGGAGGAGGAGGACTGTGAGGTCCTTGTTGCTCTCTGAGCTTGGTTGTTTTCATGCAGACAATTCATGACCTAGTTAGGTGGTAACATCATCAGTGATAGAAGGAAGGGGGGAGAATTTCCAGGGAGGAGGAGGAGGAGGAGGAGGAGGAGGAAGGAGAAGGAGAAGGAGAAGGAGAAGGAGAAGGAGAAGGAGAAGGAGAAGGAGAAGGAGAAGGAGAAGGAGAAGGAGATGGAGATTGGAGAAGGAGAAGGAGAAGGAGAAGGAGAAGGAAGGAGAAGGAGATTGGAGGAGGAGGAGGAGGAGGAGGAGGAGGAGAAGGAGGGAGGAGGAGGAAGAGGAGAAGAGGAGAGGAGGAGGAGGAGGAGGGGAGGGAAGAAGGAGAAGGAGATGGAGAAGGAGAAGAAGAGAGATTGGAGAAGGAGAAGGAGAAGGAGAAGGAGAGGAGAAGGAAGGAGAAGGAGATTGGGGAGGAGGAGGAGGAGGAGGAGGAGGAGGAGGAGGAGGAGGAGGAGGAGGAGGAGGAGGGGAGGAGGAGGAGGAGAGAAGGAGAAGGAGAAGGAGAGGAAGAAGATGGAGATTGGAGAAGGAGAAGGAGAAGGAGAAGGAAGGAGAAGGAGATTGGAGGAGGAGGAGGAGGAGGAGGAGAAGGAGAAGGAGAAGGAGAAGGAGAAGGAGAAGGAGGAGAAGGAGAAGGAGAAGGAGGACTGTGAGGTTCTTGTTGCTCTCTGAGCTTGGCTGTTTTCATGTAGACATTTCATGACCCAACTAGGTAACATCATCAATGCTAGAGGGAGTAGGGATTGCTCAGTGTTTATATACAAGTGGTTTTCCTTCCAATATTTTCCCCTCTTAAAGAAGTCAAAAGGGCAACTATGATCCCATCTCTTTGTTAGACACTTGATAAAAAGGGGTGGTGCTTTACATGGTGACAGCATCTCCACTCATCTGCAGGCACCCATCCTACTGAAGGGTGTCTTCCCTCCACATACACACCAGTGGTGGGTTGCTCCTGGTTCGCACCTGTTCGCAAGAACTGGTAGTAAAGATTTGTAGTAGTTCGGAGAAACGGTAATAATATTGGCTGGCCACACCCCCAAACCGGTCCCCGGCGGCCCGGTCGCCGATCGCTTACCCCGCCCACTTTATCAGAGGCTTTTTTTTTTTTTACTTTTAAAAGCATTTTTTCTACAACCTCTTCGGCCGAAAAAATGCTTTTAAAAAGTAAAAAAAAAAAAAAAAAGCCTCTGATGATCGCACGGCTCAGCTGGGAATGTCAGAGGCTTTTAAAAGCATTTTTTTCTGCAACCTCTTCAGCCGAAAAAAAATGTAGAAAAGGTTGTAAGAAAAAAAATGCCTTTAAAAGCCTCTGACGATCCCAGCTGAGTTGCCTGATCGTCAGAGGCTTCTAAAAGCATTTTTTTCTGCAACCTCTTAAGGTTGTAGAAAAAATGCTTTTAAAAGTAAAAAAAAAAAAAAAAAAGTTGGCCACGCCCACCCAGTCACATTACCCCCCCCACCAAGCCATGCCCACAAAATAAGCCACGCCCACAGAACTGGTAGTAAAAAAATTTAGAACCCACCCCTGATACACACCATAGTTGTGTGTGTATCAGGGGTGGGGGGACAGATCACAAATCCCACTCCTGACTTTCCTTCTAGGTCTTTTTGGCCAGATAGACATCTGAATTGGGTTGGAGTCATAAATAAGGTGAAGAAAAGGGGATTTTAAAATGACAGTGAGGACAATTAACCAGTGGAACGGAAATTGTCTCCAGAAGTTGTGAAATGCTCCATCACTGGAGGTTTTCAAGAAGAGATTTGTGAATACAAGACCCAAATGTTTTAATCCTCACAATCCATAAACAAGTCCGGTTCACGAAATCAAAGGTTTATTGGAGATAAAACGAAAAGAAAAATAAAAAGCGGTTGCAAGCGCAGCCTCTTACACCCTTCCCAAATGGATTGAGTTCAAAGAGTGCAAAATGCAGTTTTCGAGCTACACATTTTATACTCCTACTCAATGCACGCCACGCCTAAGAAGCCCTCCCAACTCCCCTTGATTCTCCCTAAATCCTTCTCCAAGTTGTTTTACACTTTAAAGCAGAGGTCTTCAAACTTGGCAGCTTTAAGGCTTGTGGACTTCCACTCCGGCTGGAGAATTCTTGGAGTGAAGTCCACAAGCCTTAAAGCTGCCAAGTTTGAAGACCTCTGCTTTAAAGGGTCATCTTGACATTTCCTGCCTAACAACTATCTTATCATGTTTACTTTTAACATGATAAGAGGCCACCAGGTTTAAGGAGCCTGGTGGCTCAGCAGACTAAAAAACACTGTTATTAACATCAAGCTGTCTGTAATTACTGTAAATTCGAATCTCGCCAGGCTCAAGGTCGACTCAGCCTTCCATCCTTTCTAAGGTAGGTAAAATGAGGACCCAGATTGTGGGGGCAATAAGCTGACTCTGTATAAATATACAAAAGGATGAAGGCTATTGCTTAGCGCATTGTAAGCCGCCCTGAGTCTCCGGGGAAGGGCGGCATATAAATCAAATTTTAAAAAAAAACTTTTAACTTCACCTTGGGTGGATGTTTTTTTTACTGATAATGGTTTTGTCCAAGACGTAGGTTCCTGTCTCCAAGGGAGCTTTTAGCAAATCGTAATACACTGTCTCTACTAATTACAATTTGTGGTCAGTTTGCAACAGTAAGAACATCATAGCTTTTTAATATACTGCTCAAAAAAATAAAGGGAAGACAAGCAGAAGACATCCGAGATCTGAATGAATGAAATAGCCTTATTAAATACTTTGTTCATTACATACAGTAGTTTATACACGGCTCAAACAATTAAAGGGAACACAAAACTACTGTATGTAACAAACAAAGTATTTAATAAGGTTATTTCATTCATTCAGATCTCGGATGTCTTTTGCTTGTGTTCCCTTTATTTTTTTGAGCAGTGTACATTAAACACTTTTATAAAAGAGTAACTTATTATTCATTTCCTTCAGATTGGACAGTCATTTGTCTGGAATGACATAGGGTTTCCTGCCTAAGCAGGAGGTTGGACTAGAAGACCTCCAAAGTCCCTTCCAACTCTGTTATTTTGTTGTTATTCTGTTTTATTCTGTTATTCTGCTTTAAGGATTGACAAATGTCCAGAACTTAATCAAAGGAACTAGCTGGATGTATGCCAGTTGGTAATTCTCTCTCTCTCACACACACACCCTTAAAAAAGTTTTGCATATTGTGTAATGTGCTTTGTTATGCCTTTCCCTGATCGAAATTACTGAGTTCCCCTTGCGCAACGGTTTGCAAAGAATTTTCTGGTTATTTGTCAGACCTACGTATCATGCAGTTGGGTCTACCACATCTGGATTCTTAACGGCGCATCTGTGTTTACCCTCCAGCATTTTATCACATGGGCTCCACGGCCTCCATCCAATATCAGCTGGCCAGGAAACCATTGATCACCTCGGCTTACTTCGTCTTCGAAATGCACGTAAGCAGCAGGGCAGGTGGGAAGGTCAGGTCTAGCAAGTTTCCACTAACCATGTGGCTTGGGATAGCGTGGACTACACCACCATCATCCTCTCCAGCCACAATTGTCAGTCTGGTGAGATGGCAGTGTCAGCCCCAGCAGGCAGCTGGCCAAGATCCAACAACACCACACAATGCGTAACTATACACAGAGCAATCTCCAGCCCGTCCTTCTTGCCTCTGGCTTTGATAAATGCACCTCGGTCAGGGTTTTTCCCAACTTTAGAAAATTAAGGTATGTGGGCTTCAACTCCCAGAATTCCCCAGGCAGCAGGCTGAGGAATTCTGGGAACAGAAGTCCACATATCTTAAAGTTGCCAAGGTTAGGAAACACTACCCTAAGCGGTCCCATCAGAAGCCATTAGCAGTGAGACCAAAAAATGACCACTGCTTATATTCAGATGTAATACACCTTGGGGTTCCAGATACTTTGGATCAAGATCTTCCTGTCGGCCTAAGAAGTTGTAGAAAAAATGCTTTTAAAAATAAGGGGAAAAAAGTTGGCCACGCCCACTCAGTCACATTACCCCCCCCCCCCTTAAGCCATGCCCACAGAACTGGTAGTAACAAATTTTAGATTTCACCACTGGATGTGGGCACTAGGTTTCTTGATTGTCCCTTTTTTTTCTCCACACATTAACATCAGTTTACACCAGGGGTGAAATGCTCCCGGTTCGGACCGGCTCGGGCAAGTAGGTAGCGATGGTGGCGGGCAGTTCGGAGCACCGGTAGCAAAAATCCCTGCCCCCGCCCCCCATGCCCAGCTGAGCCGGGCGATCATCAGAGGCTTTTTTTCTCTTTTAAATGCCTCTGACGATCCCAGCTGAGTTGCCTGCCGATCAGTTAACTCAACTGGGATCATCAGAGCCATTTAAAAGAAAAAAAGTTTTTTCTTTTAAATGCCTCTGACGATCCAAGCTCTGATGATCCAGGCTGAGTTGCCTGATCGGCAGAGGGTTTTTTAAAAACCCTCTGACGATCAGGCAACTCAGCTGGGATCGTCAGAGCCTTTTGAAAACATTTTTTACATGATTTTACATGTAAAAAATGGTTTTAAAAATTAAAAAACAATGGCCACGCCCACCCAGTCACATTACTCCACACACACACACACTAAGCCACGTTTAGGAAATTTTAAGCAGTTTGGGAGAACCGGTAGCGGAAATTTTGAGTAGTTCAGAGAACTGGCAAATACCACCTCTGGCTGGCCCCAGAGTGGGGTGGGAATGGGGATTTTGCAGTATCCTTCCCCTACCACGCCCACCATGCCACGCCCACAGAACCAGTAGTAAAAAAAATTGTATTTCACCACTGCCCTAAACCTTTACGCTTGTTATGCTAAATAGCTAAATGTTGCATCACCTGTTTTTCACCCCAGGTCACGAGTACCTTGCAAAGTGTGCCAGCTATGTGGTTTTAGGTTTTTTTTTTCTTATAAGTGAGCTATTCTTGTTGTTAATATCCTGGCTAGTGGTTTTCTAACAGGTAAGGTGCTAATTTCTGCCTCACTACGACTCTCCAGTCCCCACCCTCCTTCCTATTGCAAAGCAGCTCAAGGCAGCATTCCCCGCGACCCCCCTCCTTCTGCAGAGAAAAGTAAAAGCAGTTTTAAATCTTTGTCTGAGACAGCACCCCCACTCCCTTGCAACCCCCCCCCTTTCTTTCTGCAGGGAGAGAAGACAGGAAGGAGCAAAGCTTTTAATTTTAAAGGCAAAGAAATGAAGAGAAGAGAAAATGTTTTATCAGAATTCATATTCCTCACTCTGATGTCCATTCCATCCACACCGGGTCCTATCTCCACATGTGACCCTTCCTCTGATCCTCTGATGGACATACATTCCATCATCTGATCCTTCAGGGTAGTCCTCGCCTTACGACCGCAATTACAACCTCCAAGGCCCCTTCTAACTCTGTTACTCGGTTAACTGGGAGCAGAGTTCCCATGGCAAAGCAAGATGGCTTTTAAATGAGTCAATGAGCCAATTTTACGGCCTTTCTTTGCCAAGATTCTTCAGGGAATCACTGCAGTTGTTAAATGGATCATGCAGCCCTTGAGTGAATCCAGCTTCCCCTATTGATTTTGCTGGTCGGACGCTAACTGAAAAAGTCACATGATCCTGGGATAGAGCACGCCGGTTGCTAAGCAGCCAACTTTTGGTCACATAACCGTAGAGATGCGTCAATGAGTTGTAAGTGAGAGGACTGGTCACAAGTCAATGTTTTCACTGCCGTTGCAACTTTGAACCATCTCGAAATGAATGGTTCTAAGTAGCAGGCAACCTGTACAGAATTTGTGATGTTTTTACTGGGCGATCACTCTGGACCAGGGGTCTCCAACCTTGGCAACTTTACGACTTGTGGACTTCAACTCCCAGAGTCCACAAGTCGTAAAGTTGCCAAGGTTGGAGACCCCTGCTCTGGACACTGCCCACAACAAGGCTCTGCATGGACCTAGCAAAATCTTCTCTGACCTTTTTTGTGCCTTAGGGCAGCTCCGTGAGACAGCCCCGGATCCACCTGAAATTCTACTCTCTCCAGCCTCTTGATCCCAAATCCTTTGAAATCTGTTTTGCAAACACCACCTGGCCGAGTGCCTCGAAAATGGCTTAAATCAAGGAGGTGTAACATCTCGGTTATTTGAGGACACCAAAAATACCTTCCTTTGTAAAATTCCTGGCGGTCCTTCCCCCAAGGAGGCCCCTTCCAGATACGATTCTGAAGCTGAGGTCCCAAAGTGCTGGAGATCCCATGGGGAGGGGGAGATTTTGCTTGCTCCTCAAAAGAGATCCCACCTTGTCAAACTCCTGCGGGCCGGATCCAGTCGGCGGGGTGCTTAAATCTGTCCCGCGGGGCCAGCCTCGAAATATCAAAGGACTGGCCCACGGTAACTCTGCCGACCAAAAAACGGGCTGTGGGGGGGGCCCCTATGTGGCCCATTTTCAGCCGGGAGAGTGTTGCAGGAGGACTGCCTTGGACTGGATTACAATTATGTAGCCCAGGGGTGAAATCCAGTGGTGAAATCTAAAATTTGTTACTACCGGTTCTGTGGGCGTGACTTGGTGGGGGGGGTGGAGGGGTAATGTGACTGGGTAGGCGTGGCCATTTTTATTTTTATTTTTTACTTTTAAAACCATTTTTTCTACAACTTCTTTGCAAAGAGGTTGTTAAAAAATGTTTTCAAAAGGCTCGGACGATCCCAGGTGAGTTGCCTGATCAGCAGAGGCTTTTTTTTCTTTTAAAAGCCTCTGACGATCCCAGCTGAGCCACGCGATCATCAGAGGCTTTTTTTTCTTTTAAATTCCTCTGACGATCCAAGCTGAGTTGCCTGATCAGCAGAGGCTTTTTTTTTCTTTTAAAAGCATTTTTTTCGGCCGAAGAAGTTGTAGAAAAATGCTTTTCAAAGTAAAAAAAAAAAAGGCTCTGATGATTGTGTGGTCAGCTGGGCATGGGGGGGGAGGGGGGCAGGGATTTTTGCTACTGGTTCTCCGAACCACCCATATCCATCTCTACCGGATCGGGCGATCCGGTCCAAACCGGGAGCATTTCACCCCTGGTGAAATCTACTTACCTTCCTTACCAGATTGCCGAACCACAGGGGAAAATCGCTACCAGTTCGGCTGATCCAGTCCGATCCAGGAGCATTTGACCCCTGATGTAGCCTCAAATAAGTGCCCGATCTGAATAGAAAACAAGCAACATCCTATGTTAATACTACAGTTTAATGCCGGATTTCACATACTGTAGGTCCATTTCATCTTCCATCAACCGTCGATCATGGACAGCCATTTCTATTTCCAATCCTGGAAATTTACCTCTGCTATTAGATCTTGTGTTACCATGTTTCTTTTGCTATTGTATTTTTATTATTACATGAATAATTTAAAAAAATATATAATAGTATAAATAGCTTTTCTGCCTGGAAAAAGCACTTTACTATTCAACAACGGGGTATAAATCTAGAAATAAAAAGTTTAGTGGGGTTTGAAGAATAAGTAATAAATGTTTGCCAGTAATATCTGGTAGAAGAGATGGCAAAATGGTTATAGTAAAGAAGTGCGAAAAGGAAGAAGAGAAGGGGAGAAAAAAATACATCTTGAGCCCGTGTCAAACATCCATCATGGACACACATCCTCTGACATCAAACACAACCTGACCCACTCTATAGGAAATGTGGGGAGTGACAGTTGACCCCTCCCAGAGGTGGGTTCTACTTACCTTTACTACCAGTTTGCAATGGGAACAGGCACACATAAGCATGTGCAGAAGCTTCCTGACGACGTCCAGGTCGGTAGGCAGAGCCTCCTGCTGGTTTTACTACCGGTTCTTGTGAACCGGTCCGAACCGGGGCCAACCCACCACTGACCCTTCCATCATAATCCTAGCCCATCCAAGAGAAGGACCAGGGATGACACAATAGCAGTCTTCCAATATCTCAGGGGTTGCCGCAAAGAAGAGAGGTCAACTTATTCTCCAAAGCACCTGAAGGCAGGACAGGAAGTAATGGATGGAAAGTTTTCTGATAGTGAGGACAATCAATCAGTGGAAGAACTTCCCTCCAGAAGTCGTGGGTGCTCCATCATTGGAGGCCTTCAAGAAAAGACTGGAAAGCAATTTGTCTGGAATAGTGTAGGGCAGTGTTTCTCAACCAATCCAATTCTGGGAGTTGAAGTCCACCCATCTTCAAGCTTCCAAGGTTGAGAAACACTGGTGTAGGGTCTCCTGTTTGAGCAAAGGGTTGGACTAGAAGACCTCCAAGGCCCCTTCCAACTCTGTTATTCTGTTATCAAGGAGAGAACCAACCTAGAACTAAGGAGAAATTTCCTGACAATGAGAACAGTTAATAAATCGAAGAGATTGCCTCCAGAAGTCGTGGGTGCCCCATCATTGGAGGCCTTCAAGAAAAGATTGGACAGCCATTTGTCCAGAATGATGTAGAGCCTCCTGTTTGGACAAGAGGGTGGACTAGAAGACCTCCAAGGTCCCTTCCAGCTCTAGGATTGTATGACATGCTATCACTATATCAGTAGAGAGCTTCGTTTGCCGTGACTCCCCTCAGCCATTCTTCTTCCTCTTCTCTTTGCAGATGATTCTTCGGGTCAAAAATCACTTCTTGACCATTCCTTTCAACCCATCCCCCATCCCACTGCCCTCGCTGAGGAACAATGCCATCAGCCTCGGCCTCACTCAAGACAGCCTGAATATGATTTTGGGAGTCCTCCTTCAGATCCCAAAGCAAGAGCTGATCTTCACCAAGGAAACGGTGAGGAGGTAGAAAGTAGGGAGTAGGGAGGGAAATTGGTTTGGGGGCTCCTGGCAAACTCAACCGTAAAGGACTCAAGGAGGCCTCTCCCGAACTTCTTTCTCAGCCCGCACTGCTTCAAACGTTCATCTGCAGCTAGGTAAGGTATGGGCAAGAGCCAGTTGGGTTGTCCTGAGTGCGAAAGAACCCACCTCAGCCAGTCTGCTGCAGCTGCCAAATAAGCCAACACAGTTCTGGGCTGCATAAACAGAGGGATAGAATCAAGTTCACGCAAAGAGTTAATACCTCTTTATAAGGCCTTGGTAAGGCCACACTTGGAATCCTGCATCCACTTTTTGTTGCCATGATGTAAAAAAGATGCTGAGACTCTAGAAAGAGTGCAGAGAAGAGCAACAAAGATGATGAGGGGACTGGAGGCGAAAACATATAAAGAATGGTTGCAGGAACTGATGAAAGTTTGATGAAAAGAAGGACTAGGGGAGACAGGATAGCATCTTCCGATATCTCAGGGGCTGCCCCAAAGAAGAGGGAGTCAAGCTACTCTCCAAAGCATCTGAAGGCAGGACAAGAAGCAATGGATGGAAACTCATCAAGGAGAGAAGCAACCTAGAACTAAGAAGAAATTCCCTGATAGTAGGAATAATTAATCAGTGGAACAACTTGCCTCCAGAAGTTGTGGGTTCTTCATCACTGGAGGCTTTTAAGAAGGGACTGGAGAACCATTTGTCCAGGATGACGTAGCGTCTCCTGCTTGAGCAGTGGGTTGGACTAGATGACCTCCAAGGTCCCTTCCAACTCTCATTATTCTGTATTTTATCTCCTACCTATGCGTTTGGTTTTTGCTTCGCAAGTGAAAAGCTTTGCTTGTTTCGCTAATAATTTTCATGGCCTTATTTTCAGGCCATTCCTCTGCCTTTCCAGATTTTTTCTTTTTAAAAAAAGTTGTGTTCATATGGAATTATCTCTCCCACCCAACTTTGGGTGTCGCCCACAAATATGAAATATGTTCTCTCTGGTCTTGCCTGAGATATTAAGCTGACAGATCTAGGGAGAAAAGCAAGCCCATATTTACATTTTGTTCTGCTTTGTTTGGCTTTTTTTTTTTTTTTTTTTAAAAATGCCAATTGCCTCTTTCAAATACAATGACATTTTGTCCCAACAGTTTTCTGGCGCCGCTGAGCTGATATCTGTTATTACCGATCTTTTTTCACATCGAAAGGTAAGTGACATTTCAGACTAGCCGAGTGCATCCAAGAGCACCAAAGTAGCAGTCGGGAAGACACAATGAAAACTCCTGAATCTCACAACACGTGGATAAACTCAATTGCACCATCCTGGACCAAGCCAAATTCAAAAACACTGGGGAATCACTAGAAGCGCTCAGACAGGTTAGCCAAGCAGAAAATAATACCTTAATCAAGAAATTACCAAAGGGTAAACCACACACACAACGTTGGCAGAGCAAACTATTGTGTATAAACAGGGAGCAAACCCCACACTCGCTTGCATGGGTGTTGTTACTTAGTTGGGTAATGAAATATCTGCAGGCAAATGAGCCAGCCGTGTGCAGCAGCTGCCAAAAAAGCCAACACAGTTCTAGGCTGCATCAACAGAGGGATAGAATCAAGATCAAGGGAGGTACTAATACCACTCTATAAATCCCTAGTAAGGCCACACCTAGAGTACTGCATCCAGTTTTTGTTGCCATGATGTAAAAAAGATACTGAGACTCTGGAAAGAGTGCAGAGAAGAGCAACAAAGATGATTAGGGGACTGGAGGCTAAAACATATGAAGAACAGTTGCAGGAACTGGGCATGGCTAGTCTAGTGAAGAGAAGGCCCCGGGGGGACATGATAGCAGTCTTCCAATATCTCAGGGGCTGCCCCAAAGAAGAGGGAGTCAAGCTATTCTCCAAAGCACCTGAGGGCAGGACAAGAAGCAATGGGTGGAAACTCATCGAGGAGAGAAGCAACTTAGAACTAAGGAGAAATTTCCTGATAGTGAGAACAATTAACCAGTGGAACTGCTTGCCACCAGAAGTTGTGGGTGCTCCAACACTGGAAGTTTTTAAGAAGATGTTAGATAACCATTTGTCTGAAGTGGTGTAGGGTTTCCTGCCTGGGCAGAGGGTTGGACTAGAAGACCTCCAAGGTCCCTTCCAACTCTGTTCTTCTATTCTATTCTATTCTATTCTATTCTATTCTATTCTATTCTATTCTATTCTATTCTATTCTATTCTATTCTTCATTCCATTATTCTATTCTGTTCTACATTCTATTCTATTCTTTTTTCTTTTCTTTTCTATTCTATTCTATTCTATTCTATTCTATTCTATTCTATTCTATTCTATCCTATCCTATCCTATCCTATCCTAAGGCCAGTTGAAGACCTGACCCCCTTCTGAGCGTGACTTGTGTCTCCCCTTTTCTACAGTGTCCAAAGTGTCCTGTCAATTCTCCCCTGAAAATGGTCATCACTTTGGTTGGAACGAAGAGGATCGTTTTGCAGCCCAACTCGATCATACTTCGCCTTTCAGTCGAGATCTCCATCTTGGCCACGAGTCATTCTGGGGGCCCCCACGGCCTCTTTGTTCTAAGGGCTGTAAGTATAGGAGCAACAGGTCTCCACCTATCAAATGAAATTCAGTGGTGAGAAAAGTAAGATTTTTTTTAATTTGATTTATATGCCACCCTTCTCCGGAGACTCGGGGCGGCTTACAATGCGCTAAGCAATAGCCTTCATCCTTTTGTATATTTATACAAAGTCAGCTTATTGCCCCCACAAACCGGGTCCTCATTTTACCTACCTTAGAAAGGATGGAAGGCTGAGTCAACCTTGAGCCTGGCGAGATTCGAACCTGCAGTAATTGCAGGCAGCTGGTCTTAATCACAATGCTTTTAGTCTGCTGAGCCACCAGAGCTCATTTGTTCAGCGATTGTTTGAAGTTTATTTATTTATTTATTTATTTATTGGTTCGATTTATATGCCGCCCTTCTCCGGAGACTCAGGGCGGCTTACAATGCGTTAAGCAATAGCCTTCATCCTTTTGTATATTTTATACAAAGTCAGCTTATTGCCCCCACAAACTGGGTCCTCAATTTACCTACCTTAGAAAGGATGGAAGGCTGAGTTGACCTTGAACCTGGTGGGATTTGAACTTACAGTAATTGCAGGCAGCAGATGTTAATCACAATGCTATCAGTCTGCTGAGCCACCAGACCCTTTGCACTTTAGGCAAGAAAAACCAAATGCACAGGTACAGCATAGGTCCGTGATGGCACGTGGAGCCATATCTGTGGGCACACGAGCGTTGCTCAAGCTCAGCTCCAGTGCACATGCGCGCACTGGCCAGCTGATTTTCGGGCCTTCCGGAAGTCGGGAAACAGGTCATTTCCGGCCTCCGGAGGGCCTCCACGGGGTGGGGAAGGCTGTTTTTGCCCTCCCCAGGCTCCAAGAAAGCCTCTGGAGCCTGGGGAGGGCGAAAAACAGGCCTACCGGGCCCACTGTGCCATCACGTGCCAAAAACGGTGGGAGCACTGGTATAGGTTAGCTATCCTGGAGAAAACGGTCTATGTAGATCCGTTCCAGTCAGGCTTCAGGCCTGGGCACAGCATGGAAACGGCATTGCTCGCATTGGTTGATGATCTCTGGAGGGCTCGGGACAGGGGCTGCTCCTCTCTTCTGGTCCTATTAGACCTCTCAGTGGCTTTTGATACCATCGACCATGGTATCATGCTGCAGCGGTTGGAGGGGTTGGGGGGGCACCGTGTTGCGGTGGTTCTCCTTCCTCTCCGACCAGTCACAGTCTGTGTTGACGGGGGGACAGAGGTCGACCCCGAGGCACCTCATATGTGGGGTGCCACAAGGGTCGGTCCTTTCCCCCCTTCTGTTCAACATTTATGTGAAGCCGCTGGGTGAGATCATCTGTGGTTTTGGGGTGAAGTTCCACCAGTATCTCCACCCCGGACCACCCCAATGATGCCCTTGATGTGATGTCCCGGTGCCTGGAGGCTGTGCGGATCTTGATGGGGAGAAACAAGCTCAGACTCAACCCTTCCAAGACCGAGTGGCTGTGGTTCCTGGCGTCCCGGTATAGTCAGTTGGCTCCATCGCTGACTATTGGGGGCAAGATCTTGGCCCCCTCAGAGAGAGCTCGCAACTTGGGTGTTCTCCTGGATGCACGGCTGTCTTTTGAAGAGCATATGACGGCCGTGGCCAGGGGGGCTTTTTATCAGGTTCACCTGATATGCCAGTTGCATCCTTTTCTGGACCGGGATGCCCTGCGCACGGTCACTCATGCCCTCGTCACGTCCTGTCTGGACTACTGTAACGCTCTCTACATGGGGCTCCCCTTGAAGAGCACTCGGAGAATCCAACTGGTCTAGAATGCGGCCACACGGGAGATTATGGGGGCGACATGGTGCACCTATGTAACACCTCTCCTGCGCGAGCTGCACTGGCTCCCGGTGGTCTTCCGGGTGCGATTCAAGGTGTTGGTTACCACCTTTAAAGCGCTCCATGGCTTAGGACCCGGGTACTTACGAGATCGCCTTCTGCCAGTAACAGCCTCCCACCGGCCAATACGCTCCCACAGAGGGGGTCTCCTCAGAGTGCCGTCCGTCAAACAATGTCAACTGGCGACATCCAGGGGGAGAGCCTTCTCTGTGGGGGCACCTCCCCTCTGGAATGAGCTGCCCCCGGAGATACGGCGGATCCCGGATCTTCGCACCTTTCACCATGCCCTAAAGACATTTTTATTTCAACAAGCCGGGCTGGCCTAATTCTTTTAAATTGTTTTAATTTTTAAATTGTTTAATTATGGGTCTTAATTCAGGGGTGCTTTTAATTGTGGGCCAAATTAATTTAATTGGATTTTAATACTGCTTTTAAATTTTGCATTTCTTGTGTTTTATCTGTTGGCTGTTCACCGCCCCGAGTCCTTCGGGAGAATATAAACAATAAAATAAAAATAAATAAATAGGTGGTACCCAGCTCAACAATAGTAACTGCAAAAGGGATCTTGGAGTCCTAGTGGACAATCATTTAAATATGAGCCAGCTGTGTGCAGCAGCTGCCAAAAAAGCCAACACAGTTCTGGGCTGCATAAACAGAGGGATAGAATCAAGATCACATGAAGTGTTAGTATTGCTTTACAAAGCCTTAGTAAGACCACACTTAAAATTCTGCTTCTGGCTTTGGTCCCCATATTATAAAAAAGATGTTGAGATTCTAGAAAGAGTGCAGAGAACAAAGATGATTAAGGGATTGGACAGGAGGCTAAAACATATAAAGAACAGTTGTAGGAACTAAATATGCCTAGTTTAATGAAAAGAAGGACCTGGGGTGAGATGATAGCAGTCTTCCAATATCTGAGGGGCTGCCACAGAGAAGAAGGGGTCAACCTATTTTCCAAAGCCCCTGAAGGCAGGACAAGATGCAATGGATGGAAACTTATCAAGGGGAGAACCAATATAGAATTTAGGAGAAATTTCTTGACAGTGAGAAAAATCAATCAGTGGAACAGCTTGCCTCCAAAAGTTCATCACAGGAGGGTTTTAATAAGAGATTGGACAACCACTTATCTGAAATGGTATAGGGCTTCCTGCCTGAGCAAGGGGTTGGACTAGAAGACCTCCCAGGTCCCTTCCAACGCTGTTATTTTGTTACGGGTGTATTGTACCTGTGAATCCTAAGCAACAGCTGGGAAGTGAGACTGGAAGAAGGTTCTTGGTCTCCAGCTTAGTTTCTGATCTTCCCAGATGTCTCCATTGAAGACTGGCTGATGTAGAAGGCCTTATCTGAAGGACTAATGTTCTAATCCAGCCTCAGAGTTCTGCTTACATCTTCTGTTCTCCATTTGTCTGATTGCAGAACCTAGCTCTCGGGCTTCATGCTTCAGTCCACGACAACAAGCTGATGTTCTACTCCAAAATAACCAGGTATCCTACTTCCTTTCCACACATCCGTTCAACAACCTGGGTGTCCTTATACACCAGAGGAATGGCTTCCTGAGTAATGCTTACCTCTGAATTCTCACACCAGCCCTTCCCATGAGCAGACGGTCAAGGAAGTTCTTCTTACTTGACTCTTTTGTCCAATATCTCTTTCCACAGCTTGGACCTCATCCTGGTTTCTTCAGAATTTGGACCAATTGAAGTAAGTTCTTCTTTGCTTGGTGACTTTGTAGATGTTAAGGTCATGTTTGCTCAACCACAAAATATCCCACAATTCCTGCGGGTGTTGGTTGACCTGTTGATGGTTGATCCCAAAACCTTGTGCCAGCTTTTCACAGAAAGCACCGAAGATCTAAAGGTGCTTCAGGTCAGTGAGGTTGGACAATTAGACAGCTGATGAAAGGAGATGTTCTTGTTTTGTTGAGTGTTTCTTTGGATTTATTCTCAATGGTTGTGGTGGACTTTTTTTTTCAATGTGTTGGTCTTTGTGTTGTCTTAACGGCGTGGTTCGTGGCCCAGATTTGCATCTGTGAGATGGGTGGCCATATAAATCTATTTAATAAATAAATAAACAGGAAGGTGGAGGTGGGACTCCTTCTACCTTGTGCAGGTACACCATCCAGACTGAATTCCCTTGGTCATGAGCGGGTCACTTTCTACAAAAGGTCACTCTGTTTTTTTTTTCTTTCAGGTCTCTGGTCTTGTGAAGTGGATCAAACTGCTCCTGATAGAAACCTACCTGCCTGAGATTAATGGTACGTTTTCCTTGCCTTCCTACTTGGTGCTCCATCACTGGAGGTTTTCAAGAAGAGATTGATCAACCATTGTTTGATATGATACAAGGCCGTGATGATGAACCTATGGCACGCGTGCCACAGGTGGCACACGTAGCCATATCGGTGGGCACGCGAGCTCAACTCCCACGCACATGCGTGCACCGGCCAGTTGATTTTTGGGCCTTCTGGGCCCACCAGAAGTAAGGAAACAAGGTCCTGCCTCCAGAGGACCTTGGGGGGTGTTGCGGAAGGCCTGTTTTTCTCTCTCCCCAGCCTCCAGAGCCTTTCTAGGAATCTGGGGAGGCCAGAAACGGCCCATTTGCCAATTTCCGGTGGGGTGAGCAAAAACCGGGCCTACCGTGCCATCGCATGCCAGGAGCAGGGGGAGTGTGGGGGGGTCGTGTGTGCATGCGCAGGGGCAAGGCGCATATAGGGTCTCCTGCTGAAGCAGGGGGTTTGACTAGAAGACCTCCAGGGTTCTCTTCCAAGCCTGCTATTCTGTTAATGGTAAGGTAGCTTCAGTCCCTCTGTGGGAAGGAAACATCATAACATCAGCACTGATTAACAGGTGGAGAAGGCAACATCTCCAGAAGGCTGGTGGGGTCAGGCACAAGCAACCAGATCACTCATGAAAGGCCCAAGTCAACTACCGTGTTTTCCTGAAAATTAGACCAGGTCTTATATTAATTTTTGCTCCAAAAGATGCATTAGGGCTTATTTTCAGGTGATGTCTTGTTTTGGGGGAAAGAATAGAATAGAATAGAATAGAATAGAATAGAATAGAATAGAATAGGATAGAATAGAATAGAATAGAATAGAATAGAATAGAATAGAATAGAATATGGAATGGAATGGAATTCTTTATTGGCCAAGTATGATTGGACACACAAGGAATTTGTCTTAGGTGTATATGCTTTCAGTGTACATAAGGAGAATAAAATATATTCATCAAGAATACAACACTTAGTGATAGTCAAGGTTACTAATACAGTACTATGTGGCTGAAGGTCTGGCTGAAGATCTTAACTGGGGCTTATTTTGGGGGGGTAGGGTTTATATTATTATATTAAGGGACACAGTTGGGGCTCAGTGGCTAAGACGCTGAGCTTGTAGATTGAAAGGTCGGCCCTTCAGCGGTTCGAATCCCTAGTGCCACATAATGGGGTGAGCTCCCGTTCCTTGTCCCAGCTTCTGCCAACCTAGCAATTCGAAAGCACATTAAAAAAAATGCAAGTAGAAAAATAGGGACCACCTTTGGTGGGAAGGGAACAGCGTTCTGTGTGCCTTTGACATTGAGTCATGCTGGCCACATGACCACGGAGACGTCTTCGGACAGCACTGGCTCTTCGGCTTTGGAACGGAGATGAACACCACCCCCTAGAGTCTGGAACGACTAGCACATATGTGCAAGGGGAACCTGTACCTTTACCTTAGGGCTTATATTACAAGCATCCTGAAAAATCATGCTAGGGCTTATTTTACGGTTGGGTCTTATATTCGGGGAAACACAGGTACTTTATTGTGGTCTACCTATATTACAAGAACCTCCCAAGACTGCTTGCCTGCCCAGATAAGGTTTCATGGAACTTGTGGAGAGTCAGGTTGATGCCATTTGCGGCTATGCAGGGATTCAAGGCTAATTCCCCATTTGACCCCTACTTTCTGCCTTGCTGGGAATTTCCCAAGAGGTGAGCACTGAAGGCTTTAGATCAACATCAAGACAGCTCAAAGCTCTTGTTCCATTTGTCATTTCAGACCGCCTGAATACCGGCATCCCACTGCCTTCTCTGCTGCACGTTAGAGTGAATTATCCAGTAATTGAGATTATACAGGTAAGACCGCCAGCGAAAATGTCTCCTTTCCATACACTCATTCTGGTGGGCACTGTTGGCCTTAAAGGAGAATATCTGTCGCTCAGGCTGGAGAGGAGGGGTCCTTGGTGCTCTCTGAGCTCGTTGGGTTTCTTGCAAACGTATAATTACCCAACTAGGTGACATCAATATGGAAAGGGGTGCAGAGAAGAGCAACAAGGATGATTAGGGAGCTGGAGGCTAAAACATACGAAGAACGGTTGCAGGAATTGGGGATGTCTAGTCTAATGAAAAGAAGGACTAAGGGAGACATGAAAGCAGTGTCCAGTATTTGAGGGGTTCCTACAAAGAGTAGGGGGTCAAACTGTTTTCCAAAGCACCTGAAGGCAGGACAAGAAGCAAAGGGTGGAAACTAATCAAGGAGAGAAGCAACTTAGAACTAAGGAGAAACTTCCTGAGTGCGAGAACAATTAATCAGTGGAACAATTTGGCTCCAGGAATTGTGAATGCTCCAACACTGGAAGTTTTTAAGAAGAGATTGGACAGCCATTTGTCTGAAGTGGTATAAGGTTTTCTACCTGAACAGGGGGTTGGACTAGAAGACCTCCAAGGTCCCTTCCAACTATATTATTCTATGTTCATCAGTGCTAGAAGGGAGAAGGCTTGGCACTGATGATGTTCCTTATTTTGGGTAATGAAACATCTACAAGAAAACAAACTCAGAGAGCACCAAGGACCACATAGTTCTCCTCTTCCTCCTCCTCCTCCTCCTCCTCTTCCTCTTCCTCCTCCTCTCTTCAACCCCTCTCCCTTCTAGCAATGATGCTGTTACCTAGTTGGGTCCTGAAATGTCTGCAAGAAAACAACCTCAGAGAGCACCAAAGATCCTATGCTCTCTTCCTCCTCCCCCCTCCTCCTCCTTCTCCTCCCTCCTCCCCTCCTCCTCCCCCTCCCCCCTTCACTCTGCAAACCCCTCTCCCTTCTAGCACTGATGCTGTTACCTAGTTGGGTCCCAAAGCATCTGTAAAAAAAAGCAACCAAGCTCAGAGAGCACCAAGGACACAATCCTCCTCTTCCTCCTCCTCTTCCTCCTTCTCCTCCTCCTCTTCCTCCTTCTCCTCCTCTTCCTCCTCCTCCTCCTCTTCCTCCTTCTCCTCCTCCTCTTCCTCATCCTCTTCCTCCTCCTCCTCCTCCTCCTCCTCTTCCTCCTTCTCCTCTTCCTCCTCCTCTTCCTCCTCTTCCTCCTTCTCCTCCTCCTCTTCCTCCTCCCCTTCCTCCTCTTCTTCCTCTCTGCAACCCCCACTCCCTTCTAGCACTGAGGCGATTCCCTTTGTTGGGTTTTAAAACATCTGCAAAAACACAACCAAGCTCAGAGAGCCCCAAAGACCTCAACTCAACTGCTGGCTTTCTGAGACCCTCCGCGCTAACCTTCTTGTGACTTCTGACGTTTGCACAGGGCATGATCGTCTTCTGCGTGTGAAGCGACGGCCAACCTCGCAGGCCAGAGCTGCTCAGCCTGACCCACCAAGAGGGACATCACGGCAAGACAGAAAAACTCACCGCTGTCCTATCTTTTATCTCCCACACCTGATTTAACCCTTTTTAATGGGGGCACGTTAGGCATCCTGGGTACCTGGGCTAGTCACCTTTCCTCTTCAGACAGGGGATTAATTGTGGGGCCAGAAAAAAATCCAACCTGTAGCTAGTTTCATCCTTCCAGCCTTCCCTTTTTTTCTTTTTAAAAGTAGAAAAGTGGCGTCTCAAAGAAAGAAAATAAAACGAAAATCAGAACGATAGATAAGATCACCAGAGGCTGATTGATTAATTTTCCCCCTCTTTAACAGATCAACAGAGTTGGGAAGGGTCCTCGTAGGTCATCTAGTCCAACCCCCAGCCCATTGATTAGCCTCCTCTCAGTTTAATACAGGTGGTCCTTGACTTGCAACAGTTTGTTTAGTGACCCTTCAACGGCAGTGAAAAAAGGAACTTGTGACCGGTTTTCCACACTTACGACCATTGTGGCATCCCCGGAATCACGTGTTCAAAATTCAGACGCAACTGACTCATACTTATGACAGTTGCAGTGTCCCTGGGAAATCACGTGATTCCCATTTGCGACCTCCTGACGAGCAAAGTCCAACAACCATGTGACTCATTTAACAATTGCAAGTGATTCGCTTCGATTTTATAAATTGGGTGTTTTAATCTGTGTTTCGGCCAAAATATTTAATAATTTTAAGGGACTTTTAATATTTGTATTATCTGTATTTTATCTTGGCTGTTCACTGCCCTGAGTCCTCCGGAAGTAGGGCAGTATAGAAATTTTAATAATAATAATAATTATTATTATTATTAAAATTTCTAAGCAGCAAGAAAAAATCACAAAGTACCGGGACTTACAAATTGAAGTTGAGCGACTGTGGAAAAAGAAATCGTGTGTTGTCCCGATTGTAATTGGAGCCCTCGGAGCAATACCCAAAGGGCTGCCCTGCTATTTAGAAATTCTAAATTTGCCGGACTTGAACATTTTGACTCTACAAAAAACCACCTTACTCGGAACAGCTTACATCCTCCGACGATACCTTAACAGTTCCTAGGTCCTTGGTTAGGACTCGAGCTGCTGAGCTATTAACCAGCCTCAAAGGCTGTGAATCTCACTAAAGATTAACCAATAAATAATAATAATAATAATAATAACAACTGTGTCAAGGAAGGACGTAAATGGGGCAAAATTCACGTCGCCCCAGTCTCACTTCACAACAGAAATGTTGGGCTCAATTTTGTAGTTGTAAGTCGAGGACTTTACCTGTGCCATTGTGAGATATCAGCAGACAGGTAGTAGGGCTACTACCTGCGTTTGCAGAGATAAAGCCAAACAGCCAAAAAAATTAAAAATTATCCCAAGGACCACATTATGGAGTAAGCGTAGATTAAATGGAGGGATGGTTTTGCATTTGTCTTCATCCTTAGCTAAATGTCCTCCTGTGGAACCCCCCAAAACAGATTTCTAGCTGGCAGGGTCTTTCTTAAATGCTACCTTTCTCTGTGTGGGGAAGAGGGGATCTCATTGTAGTCAGAAGGGAAAGAGACAGTGCCGTAATCCTGTTGGTTGCAAAAATTGCTTTGCAGTAACTGTGAGATCCTACATCTGGACCTGGTTGGAAAAGGGGTTTGGGGCCAATGTTTCTGTTTCACAATAAACCTATTTGCTTTGGGAACTGTTGGAGTCTGTGTGCATTTGGAAATGTTTCCCAGGCGCTCTTGAATTTCGCACAGTGCCTTCCACCGTTGGTAGAAGTTTGGGTAAAGTTTGGTTCAATACTTTGGGCTCTCGGTCCCAACCATCACAAAGTCTCCAGAGGGGATTAATAAATGGATAAAAAGTAAATGTCAAGGAACATCATCAGCAGATCCCGCTTCCCCCTAGCACTGATGAGGTTACCTAGTTAAGACTAGATTGGATTGGATTGGAGAATAGAATAGAATAATAGAGTAGAGTAGAGTAGAGTAGAGTAGAGTAGAGTAGAGTAGAGTAGAATAGAATAGAATAGAATAGAATAGAATAGAATAGAGAGTAGAGTAGAGTAGAATAGAGTAGAATAGAATAGAATAGAATAGAATAGAATAGAATAGAAATAGAATAGAATAGAATAGAATAGAATAGAATAGAATAGAATAGAATAGAATAGAATAATAGAGTAGAGTAGAGTAGAGTAGAGTAGAGTAGAGTAGAGTAGAATAGAATAGAATAGAATAGAATAGAATAGAATAGAATAGAATAGAATTAATTAGAGTGGAGTGGAGTGGAGTGGAGTGGAGTGGAGTGGAATGGAATGGAATGGAATGGAATGGAATGGAATGGAAGAGTTGGAAGGGACCTTGGAGATCTTCTAGTCCAGCTCAAGCAGGAGACCTTATACCATTTCAGGCAAAAGGTTTTGTCCAATCTCTTCTTAAAAACCTCCATTGATGAAGCACCCACAACATCTGGTGGCAAGTGGTTCCACTGGTTAATTGTTCTTATTCTTAGGAAGTTTCTCCTTAAATCTCTCCTTGCTTCTAGGTTGCTTACATTGTTTATTTAAAAGATTTATAAGGCCAGCTCCCAACCACCATATGATCCACAAAACCAATATTATATTTCCACATCCATTGAGAACAGAATATAAAATAACATCCTTCCTTGGGATAAAACCTCAAGAATGAGCTCCTGAGAAAGGAAGGAAGGAAGGAAGGAGGGAGGGAGGGAGGGAGGGAGGGAAGGAGGGAGGGAAGGAGGGAGGGAGGAGGGAGGGAGGGAGGGAGGAAGGAGGGAGGGAGGGAGGGAGGGAGGGAGGAAGGAGGGAGGGAGGGAGGGAGGGGGGAGGGAGGGAGGAAGGAAGGAGGGAGGGAGGGAGGAAGGGAGGAGGGAGGGAGGAAGGAAGGAAGGAAGGAAGGAAGGAAGGAAGGAAGGAAGGAAGGAAGGAAGGAAGGAAGGAAGGAAGGAAGGAAGGAGACTTGGTCATTTCATGCCTTCTTGAATGTTAATCCAAACCACAAGTCCTTGCCGAGAAGTTGTGAATTTAGAAGAAGACCAAAGATCATTCTTGCTAAACCAACAAAGAGTGTTTACCTCCATATTAAGTGACACCTACTCCTTTCTTCCCTGTCCTTTGACCAACCTTGCTTGACGTGTCATTAAGACAACTCATTAGCGTAGCTTATTAAGTTCACCCAGCAACCAAAACTTTATGAGTACTTGGAATATCTTCATAGTTAAATTGAGTCACTTCATTGTGTTAATCTTCCTTTGTTCAGCTGTGGCGAATTGCAGGACAATGGATCTTTATGTAAAACGTGGAGGAAACTTCAGTAGAGGATGTAAATATTTATTTAGATATATGAAGACTTGAAGTGTATTGAGTGTATTTTCTTACCAAGTTGACTTGCTCATCGGATGGATGGGAAGGTCTTAAAATGGTCCAAATATTACAGCTTTAGTTCGTTTAGTGATCGAAGGTGCTTTTTCCCCAAAACAACTGAACTTTCTTAGTCTTTTCATTTTAAAATGTTTCGCTTCTCATCCAAGAAGCTTCTCCAGTTCTGAAGAAGAAGAAGAAGAACTGAAGAAGCGTCTTGGATGAGAAGCGAAGATTTCAGAGGAAAAAAACCTATATTAGTATAGAATTCCAGAATTAGAAGGGACCTTGGAGGTCTTCTAGTCCAACCCCCTGCCCAGGCAGGAAACCCTACACCACTTCAGACAAATGGTTATCCAACTTCTTCTTAAAAACCTCCAATGTTGGAGCATCCACAACTTCTGGAGACAAGTTGTTCCACTGATGAATTGTTCTGACTGTCAGGAAATTTCTCCTTAGTTCTAAGTTGCTTCTCTCCTTCATGAGTTTCCACCCATTGCTTCTTCTCCTGCCCTCAGGTGCTTTGGAGAATAGCTTGACTCCCTCTTCTTTGGGGCAGCCCCTGAGATATTGGAAGACTCCTATCCTGTCCACCCCTAGTCCTCCTTTTCATTAAAATAACAGAGTAGAATAACAGAGTTGGAAGGGACCTTGGAGGTCTTCTAGTCCAACCCCGTTTAAGCAGGAAACCCTACACCACTTCAGACAAATGGTTATCCAACCTCTTCTTAAAAACTTCCAATGTTGGAGCATTCACAACTTCTGGAGGCGAGTAGTTCCACTGGTTAATTGTTCTCACAGTCAGGAAATTCCTCCTTAATTCTAAATTGCTATTAGAAGACTCTGAGACATTTCAAGTGGGAAAAAAACTGTTGAAACCCCCCCCACAAGTACGTATTAATTAAATCACTCACCAGAGGTGAGGCTTTAAATACCCACTTAGTGCCCAGATCTATTCTCTTTTTTAGAAAGAGGGGAGCATTCAGGTTGCCCTGAAAAAGCAACTTCTTTATTAGAAGAATTGCATGGATAAAGAAACAGTTGGACTCAAGTCAGAAGCATCAAACAAGGAAACACATCCTCCTTTGTTTGTCCCTGTTGGTCCAGCTTTCTCCCTCTTGCTCCGAAGAAGACCTCTGTGCAGGATTGGTCCTCTGGTTCAGATACACAGGAGAAGACCGTGCTGAGCAAGGAAAGAGAAAGGGAGAGGAATCAACAGAAGGGTGGGAGCCATAAAAAACCAACATGGCGGCCAGGACACTGTGATAGAAACTTAGCTGGGAGCTCATGAGAATCCCATTCCAAAAAAACCCAGGTTCTCCTTTGATCCCTTCTCACAGTTGCTGGAAAGCCATGGTTATCTTCTCAGGGTGGTCTGGAGGTTTTGACCACATCTTGGAACTGTGATGGGGAACCTATGGCATGCGTGCCAGAGGTGACACGTAGAGCCCTCTCTGTGGGCACGTGCTCTGTTGCCCCAGCTCAGCCAGCTGGTCGTCAGGTTTCCAGTGCTCTGGCGCACGTGTGAGTACATGTATGCATGCACCTTCCGGTTTGGGCACCCTGTGCCTAAAAGGTTTGCCATCTCTGTCTTGGAGACACACCTGATTTTTTCTTTCTTTCTGGGCATATCCTTATCACAACCAAACAACCAGAACATCTGTTCTTCCCTTAAACCAGAGGTGTCCAACCTTGGTCCCTTTAAAACCTGTGGACTTCAACTCCCAGAATTCCCCAGCCAGCTAAGAATTCTGGGAGTTGAAGTCCACAGATCATCAAACGGGCAAGGTTGCACACCCAGCTTTAAAATGCTTCCAAGATGGATCAGGTTAGCCATGTTGTGTCCTACCAACTTCACTTTTTTTCTCTTTTTTTGCAAATATTGTATGCGTTCACTTCTGCTCCTCAGTTGAATTCACTTTTATCCACATGCAGATCAGAGGTGGGTTTCAGCAGGTTCTGACCAGTTCTGGAGAACCGGTAGCGGAAATTTTGAGTAGTTCGGAGAACTGGTAGTAAAAATTCTGACTGGCCCCGCCCCCATCTATTCTCTGCCTCCTGAGTCCCAGCTGATCGGGAGGAAATGGGGATTTTGCAGTAACCTTCCCCTGCCACGCCCACTAAGCCACGCCTACCAAGCCACACCCACAGAACCGGTAGTAAAAAAATTTGAAACCCACCACTGACGCAGATTCCCTAACTTTTCCAAACAAGCATTTGTCTCTCTTCTTTTACCTAATATACATCTTTCTTTTTTTAACAAATACTATATTTTAATGCATCTTGGAGAGTTCATTTAGTATGCTTTTGAACAGGTTTTTCATATAGAGGCAGTCTTATGAACAATGGGCGTTCCCAAAAGTAATTATGGATCCAGCTCTGGAGGTACCACAGCCGCCCCTCCCTTCCCCCACTCACGTGGCTTTATTTGGGTGCCCCACAACCAGCCTTTTTGTAGCTAGAACTAAATTCACGCCCAAGGAAAGCGAGCATCTTAGGACCTGCTTAGAACTTACCTCAATAAATTGGATTAAAACCTTGTCCAATATAACAGTCATGACGGGAGGCAGAGGGATTGCGGCACTGAGCAATGCTGGGAGGAAAAATGATGAGTCAGAAGAGTGAGAGGAAGAGAGGCAGCTGCTGAACACAACATCCATACCAGGGACCCCACAGGTCCCCTCCTCCTCCTTCTCCTCCTCCTCCTCCTCTCTGCAAACCCCACTCCCTTCTAGCACTAATGAGGTTACCTAGTTGGGTCATGAAATATCTGCAAGAAAACATCCAAACTCATAGAGCACCAAGGAGTTGTCATCTATTTCTCCTACTCCTACTCCTACTGCTACTGCTACTCCTACACCGTGCCAATCACCCTCCCTTCTAATGCTGAGCACCAGAGACCCCACAGTTCCACTCCTCCTCCTCCTCCTCCTCCTCCTGTTCCTCCTCTTCCTCCTCCTCCTCCTCCTCCTCCTCCTCGCCAATCGCCCTCCCTTCTAGAATTGATGATGTTCCCTAGGTAGGTCATGAAACATCTGCAAGAAAACTTCCAAGCTCAGAGAACACAACAGTCCTCCCCCTCTTCCTCCTCCTCCTCCTCCTCCTCCTCCTCCTCCTCCTCCTCCTCCTTGCTGATTGCCCTCCCTTCTAGAATTGATGATGTTCCCTATCTGGGTCATGAGACGTCTACCAGAAAACTATCCAGCTCAGAGAGCCCATAGAAAATTGTGTCCTCCAAATTTGACCCTTTTGCCATCAGATCTTGACAATGCCCAGAGTGCAAACAGGACCCCGGGGGTCTCACCTCAGCCCCAGCCCTGATTCTGCAGAATATCTTACCGTTGATGGAAACCAAAAAGGTTTCGCCCATCAGGTGGCCACAGAGAGGTTCAATGCTGCTGACCTGAAAGCGGAAGATAAAAGGACGTCAGCAGAAATCTTGGGCCAAAAGAGAACGGATGAATATTGCAAGAGAAATCCACTTACATCCGTAATGCCCAAAGCTGAAGAAATCAACGCCACGTTATGGCTGGAAGGCAGAAACGAGAATTTACTCAACTTCAAAGAAAGTCACAAAATTTCCTCTTAAACTTTTTGGCCATACTGTGTAGAAAATCCGTTTTTTAAGATGAATGAGACTGTTGAATAGATCAATTGAGACATAAGGAAAACGACCGAGCAGTTCACAGGGTCCATGGTAAATTTTATCGGGAGGTTTCCGTGGCAACCCCTCAATCTCGAGATGCAGATGTTTCTTCTAATTAAGAGCATCCTTCTTTGTAAATAGCAAGGTTGCTCAACAATTGAAGGAAGTAACCTGAGATCTATTGAGATATTATTAGGCAGAGCCAACTTGGTCTAGTAGCATCAGGGTAGAAAGTGGGAGACCATGAGTTCTAGTCCTGCCCTAGCCATGAAAGCTAGCTAGTGACTTTGGGCCAATCACCAGGAGATGGTAAGTTCTAGTCCCGCCTTAGGTACAAAAGCTGAACGGGTGACTTTGGGCCAATCACTAGGAGACAATGAGTCCCACATTGGGCATGAAAGCTGGATGGGTGACTTTGGGCCAATCACCCAGAGATTGGTAGTTCTAATCCCGCCTTGGGCACGAAATCCAGCTGGGTAACATTGGACCAGCCATTCTATCTCAGCCCAACCCATCTCACAGGATTGGGGAAAATAGGAGAAGGAAATACCTCGTCTTGAGCTTTTTGTAAAAATAATAAAGATGAGATATGAATACAAATAAATAAACATGAATATGTACACACACATCTTTTTTTTTTCCTTACTTTTCTGAAATGGATAAATATGAGTGAATCCTTTGGTCTGTAGGAGCCCCTCCCCCATTATGTTCTGGAGGGAAATTCCTCCAGTGCACACTGAATAAATAATAACTGCAATCAATCTGGATTATCGGTTTTGGGGGGCCTTGTGTTTGATTCTATCAGAATAGAGCTGGAAGGGACCTTGGAGGTCTTCTAGTCCAACCCCCTGCTCAAACAGGATACTCTATACTATTTCAGACAAATGGTTGTCCAATCTCTTCTTGAAAACCTCCAGTGATGGAGCACCCACAACTTCTGGTGGCAAGCAGTTCCACTGGTTAATTGTCCTCACTGTCAGGAAGTTTCGCCTTAATTCCATGTTTCTTCTTTCCTTGACTGGAGAATAATTTGACACACACACCCTCTCCCTCTACTAAGGCTTTATAAAGAGGTACTAATACTTCACCTGATTTTGATTCTAAGCTTCTGTTTATACAAATTCCACAATATCATCCTAATAGTGACCTTCCTTTCACAGAGATCAGTTAATTAGGAGGCTCAGGATGGGATTTTGATCCAGGTCAAACGGAGGAAGCTCCATCTAACAATGGCTTCCTACAGCACCTTGACTGAGCTAAAATAAGGGCCGGAAGTTTGAGCTTAACCTTTTTTGAGGCAACCAACCTACCACATTAATCCATCTTGGTTTAGAAATGGCCTGTGACAAGAAGAGGGCCATCAAGGGCGGCCCACAGGATGTGATCCAACAAGTCAAAATGGAGACGATGCAAGACCATGAAAAGCGAACAGACCATCAATTGCACCACTGCCATGTTGAACTTTTGGACCATCACAGTGGACATTCCTGACAGCCATCATTGTGTCAACACGGGGGCAAAGGGGCATCCTATAGTATGCAAACCCAGCTGGTGCTTCCCAAGGCAGGTGGCCAACAGATCTTCTTCATAATGAAGATCCCACAGAGCAATGGAGATCTGGTAAGAAGAGAAGCAGGTCTCACCTTGAGATGGACAAGGAAGTATATAGATAGCCTTTGGTCACTGAGAAGGTCGCGCTCAGGCTGAGGCTCTGCAGATGGACAATGGAGAGAGGAGAGATCCATTAGATCAGGGTGTCCAACCTTGGCCATCTTAAAGACTTCTGGACACCAACTATAATTGATTTAAACCAGGGATGTCCAACCTTGGCAATTTTAAGATTTGTGGACTTCAACTCACAGAACTTAAGAGCATCTAAACTAGGGTTGTCCAACCTTGACCACTTGAAGACATGTGGACTTCAATTCTCAGAATTGAAGAACATCTAAATTGGGGGTGTCCAACCCTGGCAATTTGAAGACTTGTGAACTTCAACTTCCAGAATTGAACAGGATCCAAGCCAGGGATGTCCAACCTTGGCAATTTGAAGACTTGTGGACTTCAGAATTGAAGACAATCTAAACCAGGGGTGTCCAACCTTGGCAACTTCAAGACTTGTGAAGTCCACAAGTCTTCAAGTTGCCAAGATTGGAGAACCCTGCATTAGACAACCATTGCTAGAACATCTCCTAAAGGTCAACGGTCATCCTGGGAAGCCAACCTGAGACTTTTGGGGCTCATTGGAGATGGTGGGGTTGACTGACCGTTTGCAGAATGACTATGGAAGTTCTTGAGCCATCAGAGTTCTTGACGAAGAACTCTATTTGGGCCGAAACCTTGACGATGGCAAAACCGTTTCCAAGCTGAAGCACGGGACTTTGCAAGAGGCTGATCCGGAAGTACAGGATGGCCTGGAGGGAAAAATGGTGGTGAGAAGGAAAACACGTGGAGGGAGGGAAGCCCAAAATATGATCCCAAACGAACCATGTTCTGGGCAGAGTCCTGCAGGGACGTTACCTACCGAGGAGATGAAGGGAGGTGGCTGCAAAGAAAGAGAAGGAAAATCTCAGTAGGGCATTCGGAGGAAGGAAACATACAATAACAGAGATGGAAGGGGCCTTGGAGGTCTTCTAACCAACCCCCTGCTTGAGCAGGAGATCCTAAATCATTTCAGACAAGTGTCTCTCCAGTCTCTTCTCGAAAGCTTCTGGTGATGGAGCACCCATAACGTCTGAAGGCAAGTTGTTCCACTGGTTAATTGTTCTAACTATCAGGAGGTTTCTCCTTATTTCCAGGTTGAATCTCTCCTTGTTCAGTTTCCATCCATTGTTCCTTGACTGGCCTTCAGGTGATTTGGAAAACAGCTTGACCCCCTTCCTCCTCTCTAGGGCAGCCCCTCAAATACTGGAAGATGCTCTCCTGTCTCCCCTGGTCCTTCTCTTCCCTAGACTAGCCAGGCCCAGTTCCTGCAACCGTTCATCGTATGTTTTAGCCTCCAGTCTCCTCATCATCCTGGTTGCTCTTCTCTGCACTCTTTCTAGAGCCTCAATATTTTTTCTTATATCATGGTGATCTCAAACTGACTAGTGCAATATAATGCAATACTAACACTTCCCGTGATTTGCATTTCTCTGTAATGTTCTCTCTTTGTGCTGAAATTCTCTTGTTCCTTTCTTAAGCCTGGTTATCAGAAAAGTTTGGTAAGAAAATATTTCTGAGTCATACTTACATCTGGTATCAGAGCTAAGATAGCGGCTCGCAGTTCATCAGCTCTAGAAAACTGAGGAAGGCAAGGAGGGAGGGAGGGAGGGAGAGGCAGAGAGGAAAGAAGGGAGGGAGAGAGGGAGGAAGCAAGGAAGGAGGAGAGAGGAGAGAGAAGGGGGAAGAAGGAAGGGAAGGAGGGAGAGAGGGAAGGAAGGAGGAGAGAGGGAAGGAGGAAAGAAGGGAGGGAGGGAAGAAGCAAGGCAGGAAGGAGGAGGGAGGGAGGGAAGGAAAGAAAAAAAAAGAAGGAGGGAGCAGGAAGGGAGGAGAAGGGAGGGAGAGAAGGAGGGAAGAAGGAAGGGAAGGAGGGAGAGAGGAAGAGAGGAAGGAAGGAGGAGAGAGGGAAGGAGGAAAGAAAGGAGCGAGAGGAAGCAAGGAAGGAAGGAGAAGAGAGTGAGAGAAGGGGGGAAGAAGGAAGGGAAGGAGGGAGAGAGGGAAGGAAGGAGGAGAGAGGGAAGGAGGAAAGAAGGAGGGAGGGAAGAAGCAAGGCAGAAGGAGGAGGGAGGGAGGGAAGAAAGAAAAAAGAAAGAAGGGAGGGAGCAAGGAAGGAGGAGAAGGGAGGGAGAGAAGGAGGGAAGAAGGAAGGGAAGGAGGGAGAGAGGAAGAGAGGAAGGAAGGTGGAGAGAGGGAAGGAGGAAAGAAGGGAGGGAGGGAGAGCAAGAGGAAGCAAGGAAGGGGGGGAAGAGAGGGAGGGAGGAGGGAGGAGAGGAAGGAGAGAAGGAAAGGATTAATGATTTGAATACCTGCATCCTCGGTATGTATATTCAGCATTCAGCTGTATTAAGCATCATACAGAATTAATACAGAAAGTTTCTACTACATAATGTATCTCTGTGCTGCAAATTGGAGAGCAAAGGTGGGGAAAGTCAAAACTTAAATATTTTATCTATATTATTTTTAGGGGTGGCTTCTTTTCTTCTTCTTCTTCTTTTTTCCTTTTCCTTCTCAATAAATAATAAAGCGGAGACGTTGGCATTAAGCTCAGAAATGTCCACATTTTTATATCCTGAGAGCCCTCCGACATACTCTGCCTAGGATCCTTTACTATCGTTAGGTGGAGCTCTTCTTTTGCTTTCCTGCAAAAGGCCCCAAGTGCCTTTGTTTCTCTTTTAAGCCTTATGGGAGGGGCCAATCATCTCCAGGCCTTACTCCCAAGTCATCCCTTTTGCTTTAGTTGCTCTTGCCTTCTAGCAGCTCTACACATGCGCGCACTAGGAACAGGCTCCTCCTGTTCCTCTGCCTCCCTGCTGTCCGTGCTCCAGAGGCTCCAGAGTCCGTGCATCGCTCCCCGATGGCCTTGGCCCCATCTCTGAATTCCTGGGGAAGGCCCAAATGACGCAGAGCCCTCGTCTGGGCCTTCCCCAGACTCCGGGACTGGCCCATGTTCCTCCCCAGAGTCCTCACTGTCCAACTCTGCTGCCAGCTCTGCAGGCTGCTGGTGGACCACAACAGAATAGCCTCCAACTGGAAAATTCCAGATCTGTTGGGACCCAGCCTTAGCAGAAGCAAGAAACAGACTCCTGGTCATGAAAAAACCCCTCTTTATTTCCCACTTGTGAATTAATGGCATTCACCCACCAAAAAGTCCAAGCAAGAGTCCTTCAAGGAGTTAACTGCAGTAACAGGCCTCATCAGTTCCTTGCGATAATTGCAAGCCGAAAAGCTGCAAATTAAGTTCTGGCAAGCAGTCTCTGTGGCACGAAACACAATGAGCCAAATCTCCAGAAATACGAACGGTTGTCTCCTACGACCACCACTCCCTTTTCCTTCTATTTATTCCGCTGCCAGGGAGGGGCCATTCAGCGTTCACCTGTGCTTTGCTTCCTGACTTGATTCCTTGTCCTCAGTTGTTCTCCCCTCCTAACTGCTCTGTGCATACGTGCATTTGGAACAGGCCCCAGCTGTTCTTCCTCCTCACTCATCTCAGCCTCTAAAGGCCGCTGCCTCTCCGGTGGCTGGGAAATGTCAGATGGCCCTGGTTCTATCTCTGTGTCCGATGCAGAGCATCCATCAGAGCCTTCCCCAGGCTCCAGAGCTGGCCCAAGTTCCTCCCCAACCTCCTCATCGTCCGAGTCTGCCACCAGCTCCACTGGCAGCTGGCGGGCCACAACAAGATCTGTGTTTCCTTACCACGCTGGGCGTGCAGCTGAACTCCTGAGGTTGTATCCTGAGGACCACCGAAAGGAAGATGTTGAGTACGGCGGCATGGACACACTGGCAATAACGATATTTCTCCAGCGGGGGCAGGATTATATCTGGGGCCGAATCGGGGATGGAGAGGAGACCTTGGCCCCCGATGTCAAAGTCAACCTAGGAAGAAGCCAGAGGAGACCCTCCCCAGCATCAAGAACAGAGCATGGGAGGCTCGGGTCACATGAGAGACCCCACCCAAAGCCAAGGGGTTTCTTTGGAGGGGGAGGTGCTACTTAGGATACTTACAAAGAGATGTAACCAGAGGATGCTATCGATTGTATTAGGCAAGCTGGCCAGTTGACACCTCAGGCTCCCAAAGGGCTCAAAGGGGATGACCACTGTGGGGAAAATCAAAGGCCCGTAGAAGAGAATTTAATTAATTTAATTTAATTAATTCAATTTATATGCTATTTTTTTTTAATTTGATTTATATGCCGCCCTTCTCCGGAGACTCAGGGCGGCTTACAAGGCGCTAAGCAATAACCTTCATCCTTTTGTATATTTTATACAAAGTCAGCTTATTGCCCCCACAAACTGGGTCCTCATTTTACCTACCTTAGAAAGGATGGAAGGCTGAGTCAACCTTGAGCCTGGGGAGATTCGAACTTGCAGTAATTGCAGGCAGCTGATGTAAGTGGATGCATGTTGGTTGCTTGGGATTATTCCCCCAGGAATATGTCTAGCTCAGCCACCAGAATATAAAATGAGTGCAAATCCCACTCCCTTCTACCCCTGAGGATGTTACCTAGTTGGGTCATGAAATGGCTGCAAGAAAACCACCGAGCTCTGAGAGCACCCAGGACCCCACAGTTCTCCTCCTCCTCCTCCTCCTCCTCCTCCTCCTCCTCCTCCTCCTCCTGGTACTGATGATGTTACCTAGTTGTCTAAAGGGAGGTTGTCCTTATTAGAGTTCATAGAATGATTGGGCTGAAAGGAAACTCTGAGATCTTCTAATCCAACCCTCTGTTCAAGACAGGAGCCTTATACCATCCCTTGTCTACCCACCCCACCCCACCAACCACCATCCACAGCCAACATCTCATCCCTCCCTGACTTAAGGGAAGCAGAAGATATTATACTTCGATGGAACTCAGGGAGAACATCAACGGAGGTGACAGGACATGGAAGCTCACCGTTCATCGTGTCCAACAGCCTATCTCTCACCACATTGATGACAATTTGTAAGATGTTGCAAATCTGCAGGGTGAAGACAGTTGAAGAATCAGAGGTTTGAACGTGACCGTATCACTGAGGAAGCCAAGGGCCTAGAGGTTCAGAGCTCTTTGTCTACTCAATGTTCCCCCTATCAGTGGTCTTCAATGATCAACGTCAGGGGTGTCAAACTCAATTTCATTGAGGGTCGTATCAGGGCTGTGGTTGACCTCGGGGGGGGGCTGGGTGGGTGTGGCCAACTGGGTGGGTGTGGCCAATTGGGTGGGCTGGGCCAACTTGAAGCCACTCCCCAAACTGTTGGCATGCTTCCTCTTCTCATTGGATAGACTGGGGTAAAGCGAAGCGGGCCGGCCCCTTACATTTTCCAGGATGTCCCCGCGGACCAAATCTGACCACATCACGGGCCAAGTTTGACCCGCTGGCCTTGTGTCTGACACCCCTGATCAACAGGATCGGAATGACAGGGAAGACAGAAGAAAGATCCATGTCCTTCTTGATTCCAAAACGGCTTGTTTTCAATCGGAACAGATCTCAAAAGAAATTCAGAGCAACCAGCAAGAAAAATGTGAAGAAAACGGGTGTGCCAGAATACATCGTTTTGAAGAAATTAGAATGATAAAGAACCATTTCCATATCCAGCTCCTCGTGTTCTCCTCATAACTAGTCCCTTGGCCATCTTCAGAGACCTTCTCTGATCTTCTTCCCATTTAACGGAATAATAGAGTTGGAAGGGACCTTGGAGGTCTTCTAGTCCTACCCCATTCCACATGGTGCTGGTTAAGCCAAACCATGATGGTCATTCCTAAGCCATATTGATGTTTTTGTCTTTGTTGAGTTTCCTACACTCTTTGCTGTTGGAGGAAGGCCTTACCTGTACGTTGATGTTGCCGATTATTGAGTTCTTGATGATGTTAAGTGCTGTGGGTGTAAGATTCCTGCAAAATAAATGAAAAAGTACAGATAGAAGAGAATATTTTTTAGCCCAGAGTTGAACTATTGTTGAATGGACGTAGCACTGGTGATGTTGCCTAGTTGGGTAATGAAAGATCTGCAAGAGAACAACCAAGCTCAGAGAGCACCAAAGACCCTACAGTCCTTGTCTTCCTCTTCTTCCTCCTCCTCTTCCTCCTCTTTTTCTCTGCTAACTCCACTCACTTCTAGCACTGATAATGTTCCCTAGTTGGTTCATGAAATCTCTGCAAGAAAACAACCACGTCCAGCAAGACCAAGGACCCCACTGTTCTCCTCCTCCTCCTCCTCCTCCCTCTTTCCTTCTCCTCCTAAACTCCCCTCCTCCTCCTCTTCCTCTTCCTCCTCCTCCCCCCCCCCCTCCTCTCTTCCTTCTCCTCCTAACCTCCCCTCCTCCTCCTCCTCCCTCCCCCCATCCCTCTTCCTTCTCCTCCTAACCTCCCCCTCCTCCTCTTCCTCCTCCTCCTCCTCCTCCCCTATCCCTCTTCCTTCTCCTCCTAAACTCCCCTCCTCCTCTCTTCCTCTCTCCTCCTCCCCCTATCCCTCTTCCTTCTCCTCCTAACCTCCCCTCCTCCTCCTCCTCCTCCCCTATCCCTCTTCCTTCTCCTCCTAACCTCCCCTCCTCCTCCTCTTCATCTCCTCCTCCTCCCCCTATCCCTCTTCCTTCTCCTCCTAACCTCCCCTCCTCCTCTTCCTCCTCCTCCCCCTATCCCTCTTCTTTCCCCTCCTAACCTCCCCTCCTCCTCCTCTTCCTCTTCCTCCTCTTCCCCTATCCCTCTTCCTTCTCCTTCTAAACTCCCCTCCTCCTCCTCTTCCTCTCTGCAAACCCCACTCTAGCAGTGAAGATATTCCCTAGTTCATTGATGAAACTCTGCAAGAAAACAACCAACTCCAGCAAAACAGAAGGACACCCTCCTGCCCCACCCCACCCCCCAATTAAACCTCAAAAGAGTCCTGCATACTCCTCCTCTTCTTCTTCTTCTTCTTCTTGTGACATATCCATCATCGGACATCGGCGATCATATTGAATACTCACACACTGAGAATTTCGATGGTAATATCTCCAAATAAAAGATTACATTCCCGGAAGATCACTCTGAGAGATCCTGCCTGATAATCTGTAAGTTCCAATTTGACACTGGATTGAAACTCCACGGAGATTTTGATCAGAGTCGGGATTCCAGCCAACCTAGGAAGTGACACACAGACAGTAAACGTACATTCTCCATCTCCCAGAATTCCCCTACCAGCATGTGCTTCCTGGATATCTATGGAGATTCTCCATCATCCAGGTCAGGGTTGTCCCAAAAGTACTTTTTCAAAAAGGCAACTGGACTTTTCTTGTTTATTTGTTTTTTTCCCTTGAAAATGTTTTGCTTCTCAGCCAAGAAGCTTCTTCGGTTCTGGAGAAGCACCTTTGGGCTGTGCTGGCTGGGGAATTCTGGGCGTTGAAGTTGTTAAGGTTATTGTTGTTGTGTTACCAACCAGCAGAGTAAATGCACAAGGAAACGTTGCTGAGAGCGATGAATAAGAGATATGCAAACTGGTTTATCAAAAGCTTACTTTATAGTGGAAAAACAATCTCATAGTCTTTAAACAAATTCCAAGTCTTTGCCAGTTAAATCAGTCCAGTAGTTACAGATATCTTCTTACCAAACAAACGTTAGTTGGTTAGAATAACAAACTCACTCTGGTTCACAAACCATGATGGTAGCAGATCCATCAAATGATGATAGCACAATGAATAGCACTCCTCACACAATGGTAGCTTATCATCAACTGAATACTTTACAGTACCTTTCTTAAATACGTTTTCAATTTATTACAGTACGACTCAGCATTACAATGAATCAGCAGTAAAACTTTAAAGCCACACAATACATATTCATATTAAAGTCACAGAACACATATATTGCCTGGACAACTTGTTAGGCTCAAACCATATCCTAACATTAGTCCACTCATCTCAATGTAGCTACATGTGAGACACAAGGAGGTAACAAGTGAAAAACCACATTCACATTGTTAGGTTTTGAAGCAACGGGAGAAAAGAGACCCCTTAAACCAGTGAGAAATCTGATCACTTTGCATTTTCCACCATTCTGTTTTGCCTGCCCTTTAAGTTGCAAAGCATAATTTCTTGAGTGACTCCAAAATTTGGAAAGGTCAACTTTAAGACAAATTCGTTGTGCGTCCAATCACACTTGACCAATAAGGAATTCTATTCTATTCTATTCTCAATTTCAAGACGTGAACCACGGGCTTTTCGACCTCAGCAGCTTTAATATGGGTAGACATGGACATTGGAAAGGTCCTACTCACAGAGAGCCACCAATGCTCAGGCGGATCCCGGTAATCATTTCAGCTCCTCTGAGTCCTGGCACATAGTTCAACTTGTGTGTTGTGAGCACCACGTCCGCAATATTAAGCCTGAAAGAGAGAAGAAGATGAAAGTCAGAGAGATTGAACTGCGAACGTTGGTCTGAAAAGGAAACGAAGGAAGATCTACTTCTGTAGGAGATTCAAACCAGACAGCTGACACCATCTGTACATGGTGGAGCCAACAAGCCCATTGTGGCTTGGCTGAGACATTGATCATGACCTCTTGCTCCCTCCCATTCACTGAACCATAGCATCGTAGGGGGAGTCCATTGGCTTTTCCATATCCAGCCCCTCATGTTCTCCTCATAACTAGCCCCTTGGCCATCTTCAGAGGCCTTCTCGGATCTTCTTCCCATTTAACAGAATAACAGAGTTGGAAGGGACCTTGGAGGTCTTCTAGTCCAACTCCCTGCTCAAGCAGGTGACTCTCTATCATTCCGGACACATGGCTGTCCAACTTATGGAGGCAAGTCCTTCCACTGATTAATTGTTCCCACTTTTAGGAATTGTCTCCTTATTTCTAGGTTGCTTCTCTCTTTGATTTAATTTCCACCTGTTGCTTCTTCTCCTGCCCTCAGGGGCTTTGGAGAAGAGCTTGACTCCCTCTTCTTTGGGGCAGCCCCTGAGATATCAGAAGACTGCTATCATGTCTCCCCTAATCCTTCTCTTCACTAGACTAGACATACCCAGTTCCTGTAACCGTTCTTCATATGTTTTAGCCTCCACTCGTGTAAATTAGAATAAAATAGAGCTGGAAGGGACCTTGGAGGTCTTCTAGACCAGCCCCCTGTTCTGGCAGGAGAACCTATACCATTTCAGATAAATGACTGTCTAGTCTCTTCTTAAAAACCTCCAGTGATGGAGCATTCACGGTTTCTGAAGGCAAGCAGTTCCACTAGTTAATTGTCCTCACTGTTAGGAAATTTCTCCTCAATTCCAGGTTCTTCTCTCCTTGATTAGTTTCCACCCATTGCTTCTTATCCTGCCTTCAGGTGCTTTGGAGAATAGGTGGACCTCCTCTTCTTTGGGGCAGCCGCTTAGATATTAGAAGACTGTTATCATTTCACCCCTAGTCCTTCTTTTCATTAAACTAACAAAACAGAATAACAGAGTTGGAAGGGACCTTGGAGGTCTTCTAGTCCAACCCCCTACTTAGACAGGAAACCCTACACCACTTCAGGCAAATGGTTATCCAGTCTCTTCTTAAAAACTTCCAGTGATGGAGCACCTACAACTTCTGGAGGCAAGATGTTCCACTGAAGAATTGTTCTAATTGACAGGAAATTTCTCCTTAGTTCTAAGTTGCTTCTCTCCTTGATTAATTTCCACCCATGGCTTCTTGTCTGACCTCTGGTGCTTGACTCCCTCTTCTTTTGGGCAGCCCCTGAGATACTGGAAGACTGCTATCATGTCATGCCTAGTCCTTCTTTTCACTAAACTAGACATACCCAATTCCAGCAACCGTTCTTTATGTTTTAGCCTCCAGTCCCCTAATCCTCTTGGTTGCTCTTCTCTGCACTCTTTCTAGAGTCTCAATATCTTTTTTCTATCATGGTGACCAAAACTGGATCCAGTATTTCAAGTATGGTCTCACTAGTGCAATATAGAGCAGTCCTAACCCGTCCTGTGATTCCTTCCTAAGCTTAACCCAAATGTTCCTCAAAGACTCTTAGTGCAAAACATCTCCAGAAGGTTACCTTCTTGATGGCCACCTACCCATTGATCTTTAACAACCCAAGTAGTCCTGGAAGCTGAATATCTTCAAGGGCAATCTTCTTCAATTGGTTCTGGAGAAGCCCGTCCTTTTTCAGTTGACTGCCCACAACTAGAAGACAATCAGTCCATCCATGAGAAGACATTTCTGATTCTCCATCCTTAAAGCAGGACCTTCTCCTCACTTTCCACATGTAGTAAATACCCAGGGCAAAGGCAAACTATCTTTGTGGTTGAAGGCCATATCTGGTATAGCTTCACAAGATGGGGAAGTCCCATGGGGAAGATAGCTAGGAGATAGGGCAGAATGAGCCACCACCTTGGAGGGGAGATGAGAGGATGGAAATGTAATAAATAAATAAATAAATAAAAATGAATCATAAATAAATTCCCTCTTTGAGGGAGAGGGATGTTTTAAAAATACAGGTGGTCCTTGGGTTACAGCCATTCTTTTAGTGGTCAAAAGTCCCTTTTTTCCGTGCTGTTCAAACGGTCACTAAACAAACCGTCATAAATTGAGAACTACTTGCAACGCATAGATTTTAAACCAGAAATGTTTTTGTTAAGTATAAGACCAGAAAATTATGACAAAGGGACTATATACTTAATGTTATATGTATTGACAGCTGCGAGAATCGTTTTTGCACAATACTGGAAAAATGAGAACACCCCACCAGATGAAAATATTGGACTGTGCAGAGATGGATAGATTGACATTGAAAATAAAAGATAAAGGAGACACAGAATACTATTTAACATGGAATAGGTTTTGTCAATGGTTAGAGATAAGAGGTAGAAATTAGATGAAGAAAGAGTATTGTTAAGTTTAAGTAAAACATGAATGTTATCTATAATTATATGTATGCCAATATATTTAATGGGAACATAAATAAGCGAATATAATTATAAATATGATTAGAATTATTTTGTTATATTATTATTGCTCTCAGTATATGTGTTATATTTTTTTCTTTCTTCCCTTTTTGTAAAATGGTATGCCCGGAAAATACACTGTATTCAAAATACTTATATATAAATAAAAAACTTGACTTTTTTTTAAAAAATTCCTTTTTTCAGTGCTGTTCAAACGGTCACTAAACGAACCGTCGTAAATTGAAAATGACCTGTATTTCTGACATGGTCACCTGCCATGGAATGACTTAAGAAACATGTTCCTAGTCAAAGAAACAATGATAATTTGGAGTAAATATTTTGGGCATAGTATTGATTTGAGCAATTGGCAGATTCTCTGGTAAAAAAAATTAAAAATTAAAAATTAAATATATATATAAGATCTTTTATAGGTGGCACCTCCCCCCACAAGATTAGCATGAATCAATAAGGGAAATTCCTTGGCATGTTGGAAGTGTGAGGTGGCTCCGGGGAACTTCTATCATATGCGGTGGGAATGCCCAAAGACAAAGAAATATTTGAATCTGATAAAGAGTTGGTTGGAAGAAATTTTGTTAATAAACATAGAAGTCAAACTGGAATTTTTCCTTTTGGGAATGACAGAGGGCAAATACAAGAAAGACATAAATTATCTACTACTGCGTATACTTAAAGTGGCACAGATAGCCTTTGCGCAGCAATGGAAAGAGAAAGATACCCCAACTGAAGAGGAAATACTACTAAAAATTTTCAACTGCGCAGAAATGAATAGACTCACCTTGGAACTCAAGGATAAAAGCAAAACATTGTACTATAAAATCTGGGTAAAATTCTATGAATGGTTAGATAAAAGGAGGATAGCCGAGACAAATGTGTAGTGTTAGACTAGAATTATGTACGTTATTATGTACGTTATGTATGTATGTGAATGGTATAGATAGGTATATGGAGGTATAGATATGTATAATTGTATAGGAATAAGGTATAAATTACTATTATTATATTATGTTTAAATAACGTATAAGTTTTTATTATATTACCATTAGTATATTATGTATTAGTTTAAAGTGTTGGAAGATGCTTTGGACCATTGATGTCATACCTATGTCCAATGTTTTTAATTTTGAACTACTAATAAAAAACTTTAAAAAAAGAAAAAAGAAAGAAAGAAACATCTTCCTTTGGAGGAAAATGGCCGAGGGTCTAATTCCTTACCTGATTCATATTCTGCAAAGCTCAGCATGGAGATGAGGCCCACTTTATTTCCTTCTGAAAAGTTGACCAGGGTCCCGAAAAGGACAAGGACCAGAATCTTCCACATCGTCCTGTAGTCACACCTGTCGTTGAAAACCAAAATCACTCCTCCCAACACCATTTTTCTACACCTCCTATGCCAGTGATGGCTAACCTTTTTGCCATCGCGTGCCAGGGGGGCAGGGGAGGGTCATGCGCGCACGTGCCCACGCACATGCATGTGCAACCCCCTCCCCCCACTCCTGGCACATGATGGCCTGGTAGGCCCGTTTTTTTTTTCTTACCTGGTTCCAGATCCTCTCTGTGTATCTGGGAAGGGCGAAAACAGCCTTTCCCACTCCCTTGGAGGCCCTACGGAGGCTGAAAGGGCCCATTTCCCAACTCTCGGTGGGACAGGAAGTGACATTTTTTGCTGTCCCCAGCCTCCAGAGACTCCTAGAGAGGCTCCTATAAAAAAACAGATAAAGGTACAAGAATTAGGAAACCATTTTAAAAGCCTGTAATTAACGCTGTTTGTGGACTCTGAAAAGGATTTATTTAAATTGTAGTGCTGTTTTAGAAAATTCTGCAGTGTTTCAAACCAATAGATAAAAGAAGAAATCAATACCTGAACTTCAGTTTGTTCTGTTCAGAATAAGACTAGCAATCTAGTAGTGGCTTAATTATTGCTACATAAAATTGTAGATTTTACCTTTGATATTGAGCTGATTCTGAAAAGGCATCATGGTATTCATTCCAGTATCCTATTTTAACAAGTACGTGAGTGCTTGGTAAGCAATAAAATATTTAGAGGACTAGAAACAGAGACATTATATGTTTGTTGTTCGGTTATCGTATTTAACTTCCCCTAGCAAAGGAAGTATATATTCTTTAAAAAGTCTCCAGGCTACTCTGAAATTAAAGATTAATTCAATGAAGGGATTTTGTTGTTGTTTACTTGACATTTTCAGAAATTAACTGCTGCTTTTTCAGCTGTTGAGCTTACTTTCTAGGATATCTATACTGTATGTTGGAACTGAATGGGCATACTTCAAGGCAAATGAATACAGCAAGATTGACTTGAATTTGGGAAACATGGGAAGCACTAAAGTAGTCTTGGATACATTGGCTAACCATGATCCTATGTTGAAAAGGGAAACTTGCCTATTTTTTTTATTTTTATTTTTATTTGATTTATATGACGCCCTTCTCCGAAGACTCAGGGCGGCTTACAATGCGTTAAGCAATAGCCTTCATACTTTCGTATATTTATATTTATTGCCCCCACAATCTGGGTCCTCATTTTACCTACCTTAGAAAGGATGGAAGGCTGAGTCAACCTTGAGCCTGGTGAGATTTGAACTTGCAGTAATTGCAGGCAGCTGATGTTAATAACAGTACTTTAGTCTGCTGCGCTACCAGGGTGCCTATGTGACAATGCTGCTCCTAGAACTCGGATAGGTGCAAGAATTGCAATGAAGTACAGATAAAGTCACTGAAGCAGTAGGCGTGAACTTAAATGGACTCCAGAGGACAGGAAAGCCTGGAGGAATATTGTCCATGGGGTCGTGATGGGTCAACACGACTTCGCAACTAACAACAACAACAGATAATGCATATTAGCGTTGCCTTCAACTTTGTTTGTATCCTAATGCAATTTAAGCATCTCGGCTAGTAAAATGTTCCTTCTATTTTAGTGAGATAAATATCTTGCTCCAATTTTTTCTCCCCTTAATATCCAATCTGATAAGAACGGCAGAGGTACCTTGTCCATGATTTGTGACTATGGAGTCCTTGATGCTCTCTGAGCTTGGTTGCTTGGAGATGTTTCATTCCTCAACTAGGTAATACCATCAGAGCACAGTTCAACTCCGAGCTTCAGATAATTCTCTTGTAATTACTTGTGACCTGTAGTTCAACCTCCTGTCCTATCATACCATCTCGGATAAATGACTGTCCAAGGTTTTCAAGGAAAGATTGGATGACCTCTTGTCCGAGATGGAATGAGGACTCTTTCCTTGGGCACAGAGGTTTGGACTTTCCTCAGCCAGCAAAGCTGGTGAACTTCAAGACTTGTGGACTTCAAGACTTGTGGACTTCAACTCCCAGAGCTTTGCTGGCTGAGGAACTCTGCGAGTTGAAGTCCACAAGTCTTAAAGTTGCCAAGGTTGGAGACCCTTGTTTACAGGACACCTGCTGACCTCTGCAAAGCTACAAGAAGGAGCTGGGACTCTCCTGGCCCTGGCAGTCCCATCTCTTGCATCAGCTGGCACACGTGTCCTTCCACCTTTGCCTCAAATAATGCCACCTGGTCCTTGGCTGGTTGGTTGGCTGGCAGGGTAGGGCCTTCTCTGATCCCTTGACTGCTTCATCTGATTTGCCAGCCCAGCGGTGAGTGCAAGAGGCCCTGGCTCGTACAACAGGGATAGAGGGTGGATGACCTTCAGAGGAGAAGATAAACATGGCTTGTAATCTCAGGCCACAAAAATACAACAAAGCCTGCAGCGTTTTTGGCTTATCAGGAAAAAAACATCTGAGTCCACAGTGGCTTGCTTGAATTGGCCGAGAAGTCAGCAGCAGCCGGAGGTGGGGAGATCCCACAAAGAGGCCATTCTTCTCGGAGTTTGGATTGCCTTGAAGGAGGAACTGGTGGTGCCCTAAGAGTTGAGGTCAGCTTTCTCCAGCCAGCCTCTGGGGTCCCTTGCCCCTACAACTTTTTTTTTATTATTTTTTATTTATATGCCGCCCTTCTCCGGAGACTCAGGGCGGCTTACAATGCGTTAAGCAATAGCCTTCATACTTTTGTATATTTATACAAAGTCAGCTTATTGCCCCCATAATCCGGGTCCTCATTTTACCTACCTCGGAAGGATGGAAGGCTGAGTCGACCTTGAGCCTGGGGAGATTTGAACTTACAGTAATTGCAGGCAGCAGATGTAAGTGGATGTTAATTAGTCTGCTGAGCCACCAGAGCTCTTCCCATTTATTAAGAAACTTGATATGTGTTTAGAAAGGTAAAGGTACAGGTTCCCCTTGCACATACGTGCTAGTCGTTCCTGACTCTAGGGGGCGGTGCTCATCTCCGTTTCAAAGCCGAAGAGCCAGCGCTGTCCAAAGACGTCTCCGTGGTCATGTGGCCGGCATGACTCAACACCAAAGGCGCACGGAAGGCTGTTCCCTTCCCACCAAAAGTGGTCCCTATTTTTCTACTTGCATTTTTTTATGTGCTTTCGAACTGCTAGGTTGGCAGAAGCTGGGACAAGTCACGGGAGCTCACCCCATTATATGCGGCACTAGGGATTCGAACCGCTGAACTGCCAACCTTTCGAACGACAAGCTCAGCATCTTAGCCACTGAGCCACCGTGTCCTCTTATATATGTCTTTATATATCACAATAATTGCCTTAGTGTCTTAGAGAAGGAAAACCCTGGCACAAAACTCAATGAACCCCCTGCCCTAGCCTCCTTGTGACCATAATCAAACCAACTGTTTTGCGGGCATCTCCGTATCTCTTTGGGGCCTACAGACCGGCTGACAGAAGCCTGACCTTGGGGCCTTTCAAAAGAGTATGAAGGTGGGGGCCGATCTCATCTTAGCAGGGAAGGGAGGGAGGGAAGGAGGGAGGCATCTAAAAAGGAGGAAATTTCCTGATCTATATAAATTAGAGACAGACAGAGAGGTAAGAGATAGATTATAGATGATATAGCTGATAGATACTGTAGGTGATGACATAATAAAAGAGAGAGGGGTGTATTTGTGTGTGTGTGTGTGAGAGAGAGAGAGAGATGAAAGATGAGATATAGATGAGAGAGACATATAGATGATCGAAAAATAGATGATAGAGATAGATAGATAGATAGATAGATAGATAGATAGATAGATAGATAGACAGACAGACAGACAGACAGACAGACAGACAGACAGACAGACAGATGATGGATTGATGATAGGAGAGATAGATGATAGATAGATAGATAGATAGATAGATAGATAGATAGATAGATATAGACAGACAGACAGACAGACAGACAGATGATGGATTGATGATAGGAGAGATAGATAGATAGATAGATAGATAGATAGATAGATAGATAGATAGATAGATAGATAGAAAGAAAAAGAGATGACAGAGAGATAGATGACAGGTGATAGATGACATAAATAATAGATAAATGTTGTGAGGGAAGGAGGGAGGGAGAAAATAAAAGTGTGCAGCAAAGAGAACCCCAAATACCAGCCCTTCAGACGTGCCTGGGGGTGGTTTCTTAACCCTGCAGATATTTTTTTTTTTTTTACTGAAGGCTTCCTCACTCTAGCTTGCCCATCCCCTCATCCTGTTTCATCAAAGCTGAGGAAGGGGCAAAGGCCAGACTCCTGTCCCTTCCGTCTCCTGGGCCATCCCTTGGCACGGGCCTTGGCTTGACATTCTGTCCTCTGCCAAGGCACCCAGGGGGCCCCTCTGATCCGCAGCCCCTGGCACGGATCCCGCTCGGAAGAAAGGGTGCTTTTGATGGCTTGTGTACTTAAGGTTTTCTTCCTAACCCAACGTCCCTTTGATCTTGGATTTCTTGACGTTGTGAAAGGGCAAAGGAGCAGAACACAATGGGGACAGCTTGGCTCAGCTCATTCCCCCCCCCCATCCCGCCTCCCAATTAGAATAGAGGATTATGGCAAGAATACATTGGAAAAGGTGTGGATGAGATCTAGTTATGGCAGCCATTGTCTAGTTTGCAAGGACAACCCCTGTGGGGTGCAAAAATGCCAAAAAAAAAAAAAGTAGCCGGCAGATTTTGTTTCAGCGTTCTCCCACGCCCTAGGAGAAAGGGGAAAGGGAAGGGAAGAAGGAAGAGAAGGAGATGAAAAAGATGAAAATGAAGAGGAGAAAGGAGGAGAAAGAAGGAGGAGAAGAAGAAGAGAAGGAGGAGAAGGAGAGAAGGAGGAGGAGGAGAGGAAGGGGAGAAGGAGAAGGAGAGGGGGAAGGAGAAAGAGAAGAAGAGAAAGAGAAGGAGAAGGAGAAGGAAAGGGAAAAGGAGAAGGAGAAGGAGAAGGAGAAGGAGAAGGAGAAGGAAAAGGTGAAAAGGAGAAGG